CTATGGCAAAGCGTTTTCCAAACTCCTCAGAAACACAGACGCTTAAGCGCTCACGAAGTTAGCGTCCTTGGCGTTATTTCTTATCCGGTTATAACGAATAAAGGAGCACATTCCGGGGTGCTGACGTCCACAGCCAAGTGACAGAGCCACTTCGTAACAGTGAACGGTTTGAGCGGGTATCCTAAACTTACTCACATAATGCCATACGCGACAAATTATTCTTGCCGGGCCAGGCTTGCCCTCACTCCCCCACGACCTTCCTTCAGGCTAGGGCTCCTCAGAGGCAGCCAGCTGGCGCCACTCGGCATCCGCCTCGCCCGGCGCCCACTCACTCTCGAGGTAGTCGGCCAGTGTCGCGGTCGTCGGCCTGCAGCGCCAGCAGCCGGGCGTGTTGCCCTCGCTGTCGGCCAGGGTCAGCAGCGGCGCCGGACGCCACCAGCATCGAGCAGATGGTGCGGCGGCCGTGTAGGGCCGCGCAGTGCAGTGCTGTGTGACCCCTGCCGCAGGAGGATGCGTCACGGACAGGGTCACGCAGCAGGTGGTACGCAAGGCCATCCGGCAGAGAAACACAGCGTAGTGTGTGGAGGCGGAGCAACACATAGCACCTCACAATAGCGCGTGCACAACAACAGGAAGACAAAAAAGACAGCAGTTTACACGAGATGACCAGCGGAGGACCGTGCGGACCCTGGATGGGATCTTGGACATCACCGCAGCGCGGACGCCACTCCCCAAACAACATCACGCTGTTTCCACAACCGCCACACGGCGGCTTAAATGACGTCACAAATCAACTTTGACGTCGTCACGCAGCCCTGAACAGCATCACACGTCAGCTCCGGTCAGTCACGCAGTGGCCCTGAACGCCACAACAAAGCAGCTGCAGCAGCGCCACTCAGCGGCGTCTGGTGGCCGCGCGGTACGCCTGGGCCGCGCCACAGCGGCGTCCGGCGCAGCCGCCGCCAGCCGCTGCCCACTCACTTGTCGTTGTCGCGCATGTTGACGACCGACGAGGGCGCGTTGGCCAGCAGGTAGCGCACCACGTCCTTGTGGCCGGCGGCGCTGGACAGGTGCAGCGCCGTCTGGCCCATGGCGCTGATGGAGAACAGCGACACGCCGGCCGTATGCAGCTCCTTCACCTATGGAGACGGCGCAGCGTCAGCTCCGCGGCGCGGCGCGGCGCGGAAGGATGGACCGCGCCGCTCGCGTCCACGCAGCGACCGCCAGTGCAGCAGCCGGCAGCGGCCACACAACCGCCACTTTCACATCCTGGTTTAGCTCCCAGCTGCGGCGGCTTCCCAGCGCCACTCAAGCGCCAAACGCTCGCTTCCGGGATCTGGTGGGACGCCTTAAAATGGCGGCCACGGTGCGGTGGACCGGGACGACCGCTGGGGGTGCGTCAGATGAGTGTCCTGCCCTTCTCAGGCGGATGGCTAGCCCGTGTCAGGTCACTCACGTCGTTGCATCGTTATGGGGCACACGCATTTCAGGTTACCACTGGTAACAACCGTGGTATTGGCTTGATTGCCGCGAAAGGCCGCGAATGAGTGGTTTGATGCATCTCTTTTTCGCGTATTTCCAGAACGGCACTGTCAGGGAGACAGCAGAAAAATATCAATAATGTAGTCGCCATGCATGACGGGCACGCACTTGGCACGCTAGTTTGTCAGACGCCTTCCAGGTGGCGCCACTATGCAGTCGTAGGCCACGCGCTGCTGAGCGCGCTTCTGGCAGCACAATTGTTTTCATTTCATTGTTTTGACCCAGATAAAAAACGTAGTTGGAAGATGGGGTGTTTGGTCACGTGGTCCGGGATTTAATAACATCACCGGACGAGTACTGTTGCATCTGTGTGTCCGCTGCGAGAAGAGAACGTGGAAAGCAGGGTTATTTGGGTTACAATCGACCGGTCACTAAATCGTAGAATTCGGGCCGAGCGCGCAAACAAAGACACATAAAAACACATGCTGTACAGAATCGCGCACGCGCAACATCAGATCAATGCGTGTATGATCTGTAAGGACGCTATCGTGTTACCAGTGCCAGGTCGCCGATGTGTAAGCAGCGTCTCTCACTGCCATCGCATGCCAGCGGCAACCGTCGTTCGACCCTCCTTCACTTCGCTATTATTCGTGATGGAGTCCGCGATAAGGTACGGCACAGCCGGCTAGTTGCATCTCAGGTAATCACATGACAGTCTCAAGTAATCACATGACAGTCTCAGGCAATCACACGACAGCCTCAGGTAACTACATGACAGCCTCAAGCAATCACATGACAGTCGCAAGCAATCACAGACGTCGCGTCTGCACACCGGTCAGCACCAAACCCTTCAGACCGACTGAACGACACAGGCGCCAAGACCCACGTGAGCCACCCCCGGCAAGCCATGTCAGTGGACCCCAAGGACCACCCTGGCAGCTGCACCTAGCAATTCGCACTCTCCTGCAGCAGGTCTGACGCCTGCAACCAAGACCGACGATCGCAGCTGACAAGAACATGCAATGACCTCCGGAGCTGCGAGAGGCGAAATGGTAGGGTCCGCAGCGCGCGTGTCGGGTCGGCGTGTCCGGGGGGGGGGGGGGGAGGGGGCCTCGTAACTCCGGGCCCGATCGGTCAAGTTCTGCCGGCATGGATGGAGCGGCAGCCCGGGCCGGATAGAATGGCCGAGGAGACCGTGACAGCCGGTTGTGACCGGCGTCGGGTCGCGACTCTCGGCGATCATCAGCCCCGCTCGCCTCCCCACCGGGCGGAGGTCGCACGCTCTCTCGCCCTCTACCCCCCCCCCCCTCTCTCTCTCCTCTCTCCTCTCCTCTCTCTCCTCTCCTCTCTCTCTCTCTCTCCTCTCCTCTCTCTCCCTCTCTCTCTCTCTCTCTCTCTCTCTCTCTCTCTCTCTCTCTCTCTCTCTCTCTCTCTCCTCTCTCTCTCTCTCTCCCTCTCTCTCTCTCCTCTCTCTCCTCTCTCTCTCTCTCTCCTCTCTCCTCTCTCTCTCTCCTTCTCTCTCTCACAGATCTCTCTCTCTCTCATCTCCTCCTCTCTGCTCTCTCTCCATCTCTCTCTCTCATCTCTCTCCATCCTGCTCTCCTCTCTCCTCTCTCTCTCTCTCTCTCTCTCCTCTCTCTCCTCCTCCTCTCCTCTCTCTCTCGTCGCTCTCTCTCTCTCAGCGTCTCCTCTCTCTCTCTCTCTCCTCTCTCTCTCTCTCCTCCTCCTCCTCTCTCTCTCTCTCTCATCTCTCGTCTCTCTCTCTCTCTTTCTCTCTACTCCTCTCTCTCTCTCTCCCCCTCTCTTACCCGAGGCCTAGGTCCGCCATTTCTGATGCGGCGTGGAGATATCTCCTCCGTATGACCTCTCCAGAAGGTGACTGTAACCGGAACGATACGTGTTAGCGGTTTACAAAGTGGCATGCGACTGTTAAGACTCCACTGGGGTGGTGCGCAGACAATTCTACAACAATTGTTGTTCGTACCACGTATCTGCATGTGAGGCATCTGCGCAATTTTATTGGCTGTTCATCGGCAAGCCAGACGATGGACATAACCTCTTTGAATCCGAGACGGAAAATCTTCAGCCGACATTTCAGTGCTGAGCTGTTCAACAGATAGGGCCAACACACGGCAATAAATATATCCGTGATGGCAGGTCTTAGCGCGGCGGAACGGCCCGAAACAGTGCCGTCTTCGCGTCCGGCCGCTCCGTCTCAACCCGCGCATCTTACAAGAGGGCCGCAGACTCTCCCGGGGTCACGTGCCCACACCGGATGTAGTAGAACTCCCGCAGTCACGTGGCCCACACCGGGTGTAAGTAGAACTCCCCGTTGTTACGTGACCCACACCGGATGTGGGTGTAACGGGTAGAGCTGGCCCCGTCGGACCACGGCCTTAGTCCATGCACATCCCCTGTCCCCGCACATGCATCGCAGCCAACTCTTCACCAGGCGGACAACGAGTTACCGGCAAGTTACCAACGGCCCGAGCCAACGGCCAACGGAGAGAGCCAACGGCCCGAGCAGGAATCGTTCCTTGAGGGTCAAAGTCTTCCAGACGGGAGGAAAACGTATTCTAAACGACTGCACGATATCAAAGGAACACAACCCCCCGACACATTTCGGTGTTTACGTGCCGCTCCTGGACACTTCGTGCGTCGTCCGCGCGCTATTTAGCTTCCAAAGACGGGCGCAGTGCTGACCCGCCACAGACAAACCATCCTGGTCCGTCCTGCTGGTAAGCGCGGGGAAGGGACAGGGACATGGACCGGGGCAGGGCCAGGGCCAGTAACAGGGACAGAAACAGGGGCTGGAACAGGGGACCGGACCGGGCCAGTAAGAGGAACAGAAACAGAGACAGGGACAGGGACAAGGACAGGGACAGGGACAGTGCAGCGGACGCCCGACCTCCGACCGCTGGCGTTTTGTCACCGCTTAAAGGCCAAGGTCACGCTCAGACGCCCCAGCACTCAACAGTCCACCCCTCCCACCCAGCACCAGGTCAGCCCCAACTGTAGAGCGTCACACACAGAAGACTACTCGGAGAGTGCGGACTCAGACTGTGCTGGGCGACAGGCAGCCACGCTCGACATGCGAGAGGCGATCGACGCGGCGCCCGCTTACTTTCCTCCAGACGCCCACATCCATTTGAGCGTTGTCAGTTTCGCAGTCCGCCGAGACCTCCACACACAACACACTCAAGCCAGCCCCGCCGGGCGGGGCGCCGCCGCCGCCCGCCGACACGACGTGCAGCTTGGCCGCCGCCGGGGGCGTCGGCGCGAGCTCGTTCTGCCAGGCCGGCCCGGCGCCATCAGGCCGGCCGAGCACGAACTAAACGCAACGAGCCAATCCCAGTTTCAATCATGATTAATGCCGGCCGGCAAGCGGCTAACTGGGCCAACTCTTTATTTGAAGGTAACGCAAATGCGCCGCCTGATTGATATGGGTTGAGCGAAATTCGTGTCCGAGATTGGGGATTAAGGGAGCGGAGCCGGCGGCGTGGAATGAGCGGAGCGGCTCACCTCGGGGGGCTGAAGGTGGCGCCGAACAGGCGCTCACGCAGCCTGCAACAGAGCGGCGCCGTCAGCCGACGCGTGCTGCGCCGGGGCCGCTGGGGAGCGCAGGCCGACAAACAACCCACCGCCGCCTACGAGCAGCGGACAGCGCGCGGTCGCTCCAGAGAGCGCGAACACGCGAGAGGCGCCGTCGTCCCGCCCCGGGCGTCGGGGGCCGCTGAAACGGGCGGCGCCTGCCAGTCCCTCAGCAACGATCATCGGCCGTCAGCGTTCGAATGACAAGCGCTCGTGGGCCGACCGTGGCCGCTTCATCCGGCAACAGAGCTGCTACGGACACCCAGGAGGCGGAGAGGAGCGCCTGAGGACAGCGGGCTGAGGAGGCTGAGGTGGATGGCTGAGGAGGCCGCGAGGAACGTCTGAGGACAGCAGGTGCGTCGAGCGCCTCTCAAGGCGTCGGGAACACTGGGAGGGAAAGCGAGACAAGAACACATGGGAGTGGAAACCTCGCGTACACTCAGAACGGAGCACGAAATGCCACAACACGCCGCTGTGCAACGGAACTGATCTCGACTACAGTGGAGGGGAATGAGGATGTGCCGTGCCATAATGGCGAGTGTCAGCGAACAGGATGAAATGTTTCCCGCGAAGGCACGCTTGCGAAAGGAGTCAGTCGAAAGTACGTGGAGCAGCCCCGTTTGGTGGGTCGACTGCACCTGCTTTAAACAACTGCAGGGACCAGCTTCTCCATACGATAGAGAAATATTACAGCGTGGAACAAGGCTAGTACCGTAAACATTAAGGGGCTACCTGGACTATCACTATTCAGATCGTGACCTTTGGTACAGCAATGTAACCCGCGTCTTGGAGATTTATGCCACGCTAACTACTCGGCAGCATCGCAGCAACAGCGAGGGAATTACAGCCAACTGCACCAACTGGTTGAAATGCTCTCACACGACTTCCGACCCGGAACTACACGCGAAGGCAACATCTAAGCTGAAGGTCACGTGACTTTAGTCCTGTCACCATGTGACCGGGCCGGTCAGGACGCCACCCACGCGGTAAGATCCAGCTGTCCGGAGAGGGCGCTGGAGCGACGGCGCCGGGTCAGCCGTGACGAGCCCGTCATTGAGGGCGTGCTGTGCCGGCGGGCAGAGACGATCGACGGCCGAGGCGTGCCGGCACGCCCGCCCTCCGGCGACGGCCCGCCCGGGCTCCATTGCTCGCCGTCGTCCCTAGGTGGCGGTGCGACGCGTGGCCCGGTCAGCGGTGCGCTCGCTTCCTTGTGTCCCGGTTTAGCGCACCAGGGCTGGACATGTCCAAATGCGTCGTGGTCCAGTGATGCGGAAGTCAGCACGTAAGGCGCGCGTGCTTCTCAAATCGCCAGAGACGCGCGACGGCATACAGCGCGACATGCCCGCGCCTCGCCAAATTTGAGAACGCCGCACGGTTTGCGCGCCAACTTCTGCACTAGCCGACTTACGCCCACCGGGACCCCTCCAGCCCGGGAATCGTCGGCGGCCCTCGGCGCTGACGTCAGCCCGTGCCGACCGGCGAGCGGACCGGCCTACCGGTTACCCTTGCGAACCAGCGAGGCGAGCTGGTGGCCGTCTGAGACCAGCGCCGGTCCGCATCCCTACTCACCAGCGCCGCGACCGCACCCCTACCCACCAGCGCCGCGGCCGCACCCCCACCGACCAGCGCCTCGGCCGCAGCCCCACCCACCAGCGCCACGGTCACACCCCCACCGACCAGCGGCTTACTTGTTGTTGGCCGAGGCCACCGGCTGCGGCGTGACGGCCATCGGGTCCAGGATGAACAGGTCCTCCGAGCTGATGTCCGTCACGAAGTGCAGGTGCTCCTGCGCCCGGTCGATCCGGAAGAAGCGTTCCGCCGTGCACGCTGTCGGAGAACGGGGTCAGGCGGTGAGGCGAGCTGTCGTCTGGAGGTCTCTCTAGTGAGTGGTCTCTGGTGAGATCTCTCTCTAGTGAGAGATCTCTCTGGTGAGAGATTTCTCTGGTTAGGGATCTCTGGTGACTGGTTTCTGGTAAGTGGTGAGAGGCCGTCTGGTTATGCAAGAGGGGTCGACCGGTGAGGGCCGGGGGGTCTCTGGTGGGGGGGGGGGGGGTGAGGGGTCTCTAGCGAGCGCTCTCTGGCGAGGGATGAAGGGATCTCTGATGAGGGGCGAGGGGTCTCTGCTGAGGGGTGATGAGGCTCTGATGAGCAGTCCCTGGTGACGGCTGAGGGGTCAACGGTGAAGGGTGGGCGCCTCTGGTGAGGGGTAAGGGGTCTCTGGTGAAAAGTCTCTGGCGAGGAGTGAATGGTCTATGGTTAGCCTCTGTTGAAGCGTGAGGGGTCTCTGGTGAGGGGTGATGGAACTCTCGCGAGCGGTCTTTGGTGAGAAGTGAAGGGCCTCTGGTGAGCGGTTTCTGGTGATGGGTGAGGGGTCCCTGGTGAGGTGTCTCTGGCGATGTGTGAGGGGCACTTCGTGAGTGCCAACGGGTCTCCTGGTGGAGGTCAGCACAGCGGCGAGAGGACAGCCCACCCACAACCTGACGATGACATGTGCCACCACAGAAAAGCTGGCACGCCAGTAAACGACAACAGAGGTCGCACCATCGGGCTATGATGTGACCTCCACGCTCTCTGATGTTTTATACAATACTTACCAGGTGCGAACACACACCCGGGTCGGAGACAAGAAGGCTTATCTAATATGAACTCGAGAAATAGACTGTTGCTGTTGGAAGGTGGGTTTTCACCTAGCGGCCATCACAAGGTGGGCTGCGTTGAAAATCGAAATACGAGGCGAACTTGTCTATATCATCCAGCGAATAAACCCGGGACCAAATTACTTATTCCAACGAGCTCACGCCCTGTCTATCTCAGTGCACAGCTGTTTGCATCACTCTAGTTCAGCCGACTAGTGGGCTTAAGCTGATTAGCCACGCAGCAGTGTTCGGCTGCAACAATATTGGCCTGGCCCGATCTCAGCACCAGCTTCACAACCAGCTGACATCTAACCACGATGATGACGGACCGATTCAAGGCTGCGCCCTTTGAGATTCAACGCACACATTCAGTCAAATATTGGGTAGTTCAGTCCAATATACATTTTATATGGGTCACACGTGACTAATCGGCTGGGGCTGCCCTGCCATTCTGCAGGGAGAGCGCCGTCGTGTCACACGCGGCCGCGTGACGCGGCAGCGGTGGGCGTGGGTCAGGGGTGGGGTGGCGTTGGCAGCCGTATGGGCCGTCAGATCATGCCGGCGCTCCAGATACCCTGACATCGCGGTCCAGGGTCAAAGACGCCGAGTGCTGGCGGGGCACTGCGCCCGCGACGAGGGATGAGCACTTCAGCTAACACGGGAGGCAGGCAGCGGCGTGTATCCAGTACAAGGCAGCGTGTATAGCGAAGACAAGTCCGCTGTGTGCATACCAAACGCAAAAGCACCCACTTCACTGTAGGGACAGCGGCAGGCGACGACAGTGACCCGCGAGATGGATTCCACCGGGCGCTTACAGCCCTTGGACCCCAGAAACGTCCCGAGACATGCTCACCCGCCCCGCCCGCCGAGGTGAGCATTTGCTCCGCTCGAGACAGCAAACGGTCGACTGACTCACAGTCGACGAAGCACCACTCGGGGCTGAGTGGCGGGCTCTGCTGGCTTTCCTCCTCCAGCCGGTTGATGTGGCGCCGCACCTGCTCCAGGTCCGAGTCGTGGTCCACCATGATGACGCCCAGAGGCGTCGCTGCGTGGCAGAGCGCCAGGTCAGCGGGTGCGGCCGCGCGACCGTGGCCGCACCTCGGCGCCGGCGGAAGGCTGCGCAAGACCCGCGCAGGGAGGACGGCGGTGCCACAAGGCCCGCGCAGGGAGGACGGCGGTGCCACAAGGCCCGCGCAGGGAGGACGGCGGTGCCACAAGGCCCGCGCAGGGAGGACGGCGGTGCCACAAGGCCCGCGCAGGGAGGGCGGCGGTGCCACAAGGCCTGCGCAGGGCGGACGGCGGTGCCAAGATACGCGCAACGCGCCTAGTTCAGCGCTTCGCACCGATATAAGGGCGCATTCTCGACATACATTATTTTAGACTGCTTGCAAGAGCCGGCTGCCTAAAACGCGGTTCGTTTCGACCCCCATGTCATTCCGATGCAATGTACATGACACACATAACCTGATCACGTGGTTATCACGTGGACCAAATTAAACAGAGTGCTCTTTGGCTGACCACGAACATCAAGTCTCCGGACTTCGCCCGTGCCTGATGACGACGGGTCAACACCACCTTATTCTGGCCCGTGTATAACCCTTGAACGAGCGCCGCAGGCCCCGGCAGCCACAAACAAACACAGCGCCACGTCAAAGTCAGTGTCAGCGTCAACGTCAGTTTCAGCGTCAACATCAGTGTCAGAGTCAACGTCAGTGTCAGCGTCAGCGTCAGTGTCAGCGTCAACGTCAGTGTCAGCGTCAACATCAGTGTCAGAGTCAACGTCAGTGTCAGCGTCAGCGTCAGTGTCAGCGTCAACGTCAGTGTCTGCGTCAACGTCAGCGAGCTTCCGATGACGTGCGGCGGAAAAGCGGACGGGCGAGGCTTACAGTGCTGCATGAGCGTCTCCTTGTCGTAGTGGTACTGCTCGTAGTCGGACATGGTGATGCGGTTGATACGCATCCGAAGCTGATCCTGTTGCGTATTCCTGCAAAGGCCGAAGGGCGTCAAGGTGGTCTGACACCGCCAGCGCTCTTCGGCAAGTGACACCATATCGGGACGGCTGCAGAATAAGGAGTAGTTTGGAATTTGGAACCATCTTTGAATGCATGGCACGAGCTTCTGTAACAATCAGTGTTTGTTGAATGTTTCTGAGGGCTATGCAATACATTATACATGCAATTGGTCATTTCATGCAGTGGTGGTGCCACCCGCTTCAACGTTTCCATAATTTCTTCAAAGAGAGATCAGTTTCATTGGATCATTCCATTCCAGATGTGAAGGCAGGTCAGAAGCGCCAAGAACCAGCCCGATTGGCGCGTCGCGACGTCAGCTCGCACATTCCAAATGCCGCTCAAAACAGAGCACCTCCACCTTCACTCACATATGACACAGAGCACCTCCACCTTCACCCACATATGACACAGAGCACCTCCACCTTCACCCACATATGACACCGAATGGCGCCACCTCGGTATGCCTTTCAGCTCGGAAAAGGCCGCGTGTCGACTCAATGTCTGCGCGCCGGAAACTCTTTTGATTCGAAAAAGCCCGGCTGAATATTCCGACTAGACGCTTGACTCGGCCTCGGCCTCATCTTGCGGTATCCAAAAACTTTGCGTAATGCAGCGGCACGGAGAGAGCGTCACCCGAGGAGAAGCGAGGGCGCGTAGTCAGAATGGCGGCGCCGATGCTCCCTCCCCCAGTGCGCAGCAGACGTCCGCAAGCCAGTCCAACGCACGTTCTGGCGTCGCCAGGCCGCTGCTGTCCATTATTACTGTATCGTTCTTATGGACTGCTGAGCTTCAAATACGACGTTGGCGGAGGTTCGGAAGTCCAGAATAGTTTAAAAACCAACCAAACGTGCGCCCGTAGATGTGAAAACCGTTCGGAAACCATTCGGACAGACGTCCAGGGCCTCTCACCGGGCGTCCAGGGCCATATCGACGGGTGACTGAGGTCACCCCAAGGGGCCACATTATCAAGTCCAACGACTGCTTGCTTGTCCGGTTGCCGGGCGTTCAGAGACATCGAGCCGGCCGTTAGCGCATGCAGCATGAGATATCTCCGCAACATTTCAACGCATTTCGATATCCCAAGCGTCCGATCCAGGTATTGCCTTAGCGGACTGCCCCCCCCCCCCCCTCCAACAATGCCCCGGCCGTGCCGCTGAGCGGCGTGAGTCAAACTTCCAACGTAATTGGCGGGAATCGAACCTCGCCTAAACTTTAAATTGGCGCCTATGGATGCTGCGTAGACAGCATCGACGTCCAATCCCAATGTGCTCCCTAACCACACTGAAGAAGTTTGACGTCTGCTGGGCAGACAGCAAATGAGACAAGAGGGACAGTGCACTGAGAGCAGAGGGATCAGCGGCTTGCGAGCGGTCCGTGCGCAGACAAACGGAGCCGAAGCCCGAGGTGGGGGTCTCGGACCCAGGGTCTGAAGACGCGTCAGATATCGGCAGACAACCACGTACATGGTGTGTTGACAGAGAGGTCACTGTCCGCCACATATCCACCTGTACAGCTCCGCGCTGGAGCGTACAGCCGTCTACTTCGGCCCCGCCGTGAACAGCGCAACAGTCCGGTTCAGCTCCGTGATGGAGCATGCTAGTCTGGTTCAGCTCCGTGATGGAGCATGCTAGTCTGGTTCAGCCCTGTGACAGGCAGCACGCTAGTCTGGTTCAGCCCCGTGACAGGCAGCATGCACGTCTGGTTCAGTTCGGCGGGGTTCCACATGCACGTTCGGTTTAGTTCGGCGGAGTTCCGCACGCACGTCTGGTTTAGTTCCGCGTGGTTCAGCGGAGATGTCTGGTTTAGTTCGGCAGGGTTCAGCATGCACGTTTGGTTTACGCGGGCACGGTTCAGCACACACATCTCGTTTAGTTCGGCGTGGTTCAGCGCACACGTCTGGTTTGGTTCGGCGTGGTTCAGCATGCCGGCTGCTTCAGCTACGGACAGTGAAATGGTGGTCCGTATGCACAACGGACAGCATGCCAGTCCGGCTCAGAACCGCGGGGACAATATCGCGCCCGACTCAAAGCCGCGGCCCATCCTCTACATCCGCCACCAGATGACAAGTTCACTGAACTCAGCTTACAGCTGCCCGACAGCCGGCAAATAATGGGCCTTATCAGATGCCATTTCTCAGCTAGATGCCCATAAACACTGAAGGACTGCCCCGACTGAAACGAGCAACTGTTGAACGAAGGCCTGACGTCAGCAGTCTTTTTAATTCATTAGGGCTCATTAGATAGGCTGAATCCCATGATGTAACACCACGGTACTAAAATAACACTACAATCAAGCCAGTCAGACGACCCGTTCCCGGACCTCCAGTGCACACTTGCCCTAAGTGCGGAATGAGACTAGCGCCCATGAAAAGTCCTAGCACAAACACTGAAAGACCGAACCCGGGGGATCGGCTTGGAGCTCGCAAAAGGCCACAGTACTGTACTGCCCCACTAGCCGACTTATTTGCTGCGTTCTCCTGCGGCGCCACAAATCGGTAGTTAGGGACGTGGTTTCCTATTCGTTCTTTTTATCTCCATCACGAGGCGTTCACCATTCCCGACGTCCGTGTCACATTGTGTTGAAACTTAAGCAAACAGTGAGTATAGTGGCAGGGCAACAGAAGTTCCCCCAAATTTAACGGGTCCGAAATGCACTTCGTTCCAGTCAACGATCATACGGTAATGCCACATTTTCAGAAAGTTGGGGCTCAGCTCCTCTTCCTATTCTCGCGTCCCGCATGGTTGCCAATGCTCCTTTACGAAGCATTACGCATCGCACACTTCATACGAGAAAGGTTCTACAATGTTATGAACCACGATGCATCCATCACGCCTCGGATCACTGGAAAATTTCGCAGCGATACTTAAAATCGACACTTCATCAATATCTGTACCACGCACCTCAACAAATTATACCCTCCATGGACCCAAGCACATCGGGTCAGCGAAACCCAGCGGGCCCAAGCCATCCCGCTGGAGCATGTGAACAGGTCCATGGCTGCCGGGTTTCCTTGATGATATGTACTGAAAGCCATCCGATGGCTTGGTTTTGGCCGAGTCCTGGCAGTGGCGGCGGCAGGCGCTCTGGACACCTCAGCCGATATATGGATCCACCGCGTCTGACGTGCAGCTGCAGCCGCTCGCCGCCGATAGGAGATCGCCACACTCCGAGCTCTTCATCACACTAAACACATCCGACGGCCCGATGGGCTCCTCAAGTGGACACGAAATACGGACCATCCGGACGGCGCCACCCAGATGGAAGGGACGGAGGCGCGGCCCAGTTTCGACGTGAGGCTCGGCGGATCTGCCACTCTCCTGTTGGGCCATTTCTTTATACATTGCATCGGCGGGCCCCTGAGTCCCATACAGCCTCGGCCGTATCGACGGAGCTTATGCAGAGTAGGATCCCGAAGTGGGCAACGCTTGGGCGGCCGCATCCTACTCCGCCGCACCCCCACGCCGGGCCGGCGCGGACAGACCGGTCCGACACAGGGCCGCACGCTGATGCATAGATCCATGAACAGAGTATGTGACGGCTCCAACAGAATGCTGGACAGGGCACGTGACAGCTCCAAGGCAGTCCCAGACGGAGCACGCGACAGCTCCAGTGCAGTCCCTGACAGAGCAGATGGCAGCTCCAACGCAGCCCCGGACAGAGCACATGGCGATACCGTCCCTGGCGTGTGTCCTAGCTCCTGTCCGACGGACGACGAAAACCAGCCTGAGCCGGCAGCACACCACGGAGACCAACCTGAGCCGGCGGCGGACCACGGAGACCAGCCTGAGCCGGTGGCAGACCACGGAGACCAGCCTGAGCCGGCGGCGGCCCGGGAGCCCTGACCACCGGCCGATTGGACCTCCCGCCAGTCGGTGACCTCTGACGGACCTCGGAGCGTCGCAGCCGCGTTAGTGAGCTGCGCTGCCAGGCGGCTTTCGTGTCCACCTCCGGGTCGAGACCATAATAAGAAGCCGCGGGTCGGGGCGCCGCCGCGGAGCGCCGTCGGCCGCGCGGCGTCGTCAGTCGCTTTCGGCGAGGCGTGGGATGGTATTACTCACGTCACGTCGGTGGTGAACTGTGTCCAATGCAGGAGCCCTTAGTGAAGGGTGGTCCTCACGCCTCCGTGAGACGTGTCAGCGACGGCTGCGTTTTTTGGATAGATTTGGTCAAGCACGCTTTGAAGAGAGCGCTTTTTACCAGAAGATGATATGTTCCAGAAAACATTCTATCAGTTCGGTAAAAGACAGGTTTCGTTCACTTAGAGTCAAGATTCAAGGGCCATCTTTTCAATAACAGCAAACTCAGCCAGGCGCTCCAAGAAAGTAAATACAACTCAAGAGTAAAATAAACTAACATCGCCGTAGTTTGCAACGGGAGCAACATTGCAGCAGTCATGCAATGGCTGCGCTGTGACGAGCTCGCTGGGCCCGAGCCGGCGCGGAGCTCGCTGTGGAGGACCGGGCGTCATCCGGGTGCCGTCCCACGCAGCTCGGCCCGCCGCCCGGCAACGTCGCAATCCACACCGCCGCGCATCGCTCCAGCCAAATCGAACGGCCGCGGTCGTAAGTTAGCCCACTCGGAATTGGAGCTGTCGACAACTTGAACGCCGCTCTACGGTATAGAAACTGTTGACGGATGCGGAAGGCCCAGACGGGTCCTGATAAATTGGTGACTTAGAATGGGCGGGGAAGCGGAAGGAGAATAGGGAGTTCTGCTAATATGGACACTGGGGGTAAATGCAGGCAATACGGAGTGCATTAGAAGCAAAGATGACGCGACAGCATCGGAAAGGTAGCCTCGTGAAACGAGGGACGGGGAACTCAGTGAGCACGAACGCTTAAAAAACGATTCCGATATAAGCCTGAGCTGAGCGCCTGACGACTCCAGCAGACTGCGTGCCTGGTGCGCCTGCTACCGACTCTTTCGAAAGCCAATACCGCATTTGCGGCAGCCTCATCGACCACGCCGACGTGACCATCTAGCTGGCACAGCTGTCAGGTCAGTCGGGTCGGGAGCTGGCAATGCTGGCACCGGGTCCATTCCGTCACACACATACACACACACACAGCCCAGCAGCCGGGTGTGGGTACCCGTGTCCGGTGCCAGCCCAGTAGCCGGGCGTGTGTACCCGTATCCACTGTCAGCCCAGTAGTCGTGCGTGCGTGCGTGCGTGCGTGCGTGCGTGCGTGCGTGCGTGTGTGTGAGTGTGCGTGTGCGTGGTGCCGGTGCTATGTCCGAGCCAGCCGCCGGCCGGGCGGCGCAGGCGGCGGAACTCACGCGGAGCTGGACTTCTCGCCCCGTCGCTTGCAGATCATGCGGGCGCGGTTGAGGTGGCTGACGGTGATGATGGACGGGTTGACACGACACGCCTCGCCGTCCACCTGCATGGGGATCGTCTTGGCCGTGGTGATGACCGCCTTCTGGCAGCGGCCCAGGCTGGTGCCGTGGCCACCCGCGTGCAGCAGCGGCTGCCGGCAGGCATGGACGTCAACCCCGGTGCTGCACGCGAGGAGGTCGTCAATAACTGTGCTGAGGCGAGGAGGTCGCCAATAACTGTACTGACGTCAGGAGGTCGCCAATAACTGTGCTGAGGCACGCCCAACGGACAGACACGTGCAACACACGTAAGCCACCACCGGTGGCGCGGCATCGGACAGCATACACAGCGGAGGTCGTCAGTACCGGCAGCACAGCCTCCAGATAAGGAGACCCGCACCACAAGCACCGAAGCCTCACGCCAACACACAAACGGCGGCCGGCGCCAGTGGTGCTGGAGGCGGCGTCTCTTCCGTTCCATCGGCGCGTCTCCCCCCCCCCCTCCTCCCTCCCCCTGCCCTCAGGGCCCACGAGACGCCAGCATTGATGCGGATGCGGCGCAAACGCCGCCACCATTCGCGCCGCCGCCGTCACGGACGGCAGCTGAGCCCCGGCATAACAGAATGACGAACAGCGCGATTTGGCGCACAGCCGGCAAATCCGGCTGGGCCGTACGGCGGCCATGCGCACCGCCGTCCCTTCCTCCCAAACTGCCGCGATATTACCCAGGAGGCTGTGCTGTCGTATTTCATGGTCGGCCATGCCTGCAATAACCTGATGATGACCGATGACACGTGGTGTTTCCATCATCCCGCCGGGAATGACAGCGGTGCTACGGAGATATAAGGCGGTACACACGCGTCACACGGGAGGAGGGCCTGCTCGTATGCCGCTAAGCGATGTGACGAACCAGCGGATGCATTAACGCGACGGGACATCAAAGCGGTCGGGGATCCGTGGGGATTCGGTGCATCCACGCTTACACGCCGAACGGAAACAAGCCGGCGGAGGGGAATATATCGCGGCGATGCGGTTTAGTCCAATAGGCGGAGACCACCGAGCCAGCCACTAGACAACGACAGCTAGCGATCGACAATAATCCGTTTGAATGTCATTGGTACGGTTGATACAAAATAAGTCAAAACGCCGATAATAGCAACTGTTCTATCGGGAAAACTTAGCAAGCCGCCACCATTTCTCCCGCGGATATTTTCGACAATGGAATTGCAAAATGAACTCAGCAATGCAATGGCCAGCCTAGCAGTGTGGTCACGACACCCCGAGAATGGTATCGGTGGCGGTCAACGCACACACCAGCCAGAGATAGAGACTCTACCGGAGCGGGTTTAAGCATCAAAAGTGAGACCGACAATCTTTGGCTCGAGTGGAGCAGCATAGCAGGCGGCGAGAGCCCTCCGAGGGATGTTGGCTCGAGCTGTGCAGCGCAGCAGGCGGTAAAAGCAGCTGACAGTGTCCACGGCTACCGGGCAGGGACCAATCCCATTTTGTCTGCACACGCTTCTGCTGGCCAGTGCAGGTGGTCCCGAATCAGCCCGGGCGGCGCGGCACAGCCACGCTGGCTGACCGGCGCCTGGCCGTCCTGGCCACCTGCCGGACACGTCCTCCTCGCTCCAAGCCGCAGCGCTATCCGCAGGCGACGCCACGGTAAATTCGACGTCCAGCGAGCTCGTCAGTCCGTGCCGGGACGCTCCGCCGGCCGCGCGGGGCGCGGATGGGCGCACCGGCGCCGCTCCGGTGACATCGACGGCAGCGCCTGCGCGGCGCTCGTCGGGGCTCCCCGGCGATCTCGGTCTCGGCTCGACCAGCGAGGGCCGGCGACGCCGTACGACGCGCTGGGCGCCAGCGGCCCGTCCCGAGTCGTCCGTGAGACCGGACGGATTGGTGGACGGCAGGTCCGATCGGCCGATCCGAACTGGGAGGAGCGCGGTGGCCCGGATTCTCTGACGTATGGCGGCGTGGGCAGGACCCCAGCGCCAGACTGACGCGTGTCTTGTAAATTCTCTGCCCGGCTCGATCCCACGCGAGCGACCGCCCGCCCCTCCCAGCTGACGCACCGCTGCAACGTGTGCCGCGCAGGGGAACGAGATTACTCTGCCTCAGCAGTCGACCACTCACGCATGAGACCGTCTGTGGACTCCACGACGTTTGCTGACTTGGACCGAAGTCTGGCCACCGCATCCCCGAACGCAGCGAGACAAGTGAGCGAGACACAGCGGCATGTAGTGACAGCGCTCCTCCTCCCAGACGCATAGTCAGCTGGATGGGACCCCATTGTAAACTTAAGCAATACCCCAACATCTGGAACTGTTTCAGAAAACCGGATCGCCAAATGAATGGGGTATTTTTACGAGACAATTTCTCAGGCCAACTGGCCATTACTGGTCGACAGGCACAGCCACCGACGCCGTTCGCAGCAGGAATCCCCTAGCAGTATACGCAGGGGCGATAAGGCGCGAATGACAGGCTTATTTATAGTGCCGGCAGCCAACCGAACCACCGTCGCAGCAGCGGACGGTACCAAGGGCACATTTCAGAGCGCATGTCACGCGCTGTTTTACACAAAACATAAAAGAAGCATTTTACCACGCTGCTTTACTAGGCGCCTTTCACACTTTCCGTTATCTAAATCAACCCACCAATCAACCATGTCTCTCAGGCCAAAGCTCGTAAAGAGCATGGGTCGCCATAGCTACCAGGCTATGGCGGCCAACATAAGTAACTGAACCTGCACAGTACGCAACTGAAAACGATATCAATTTCAACGTGCGACATTAAGCAATGCGATTTCGTCCAGCCGATTGCGGGGCGACGGTGTACAAACGAGTGCTACACATGGATACACTATTATCGACAAGTAGCAAGCCATGGGAATGATCCAAAGGGATCAATGCGGAACAGTCACCTGACATCTAATAGGTCATAATCACAAACAAATCAATAAAGTTCACAACCCTGGGACCAGGAGCTGTTGTTGCTTTGAACGGAGGGACCTTCGGCGCCCATAGATTTCAGTCTGGCGTTCCCTCGTTCAACACAGGGCACGATAATATCATTTTGCGGCTGACAACCGCAAGACAATCCTGTTATTCCTCCGCCTGAGTGGTAAAATCTAGCACTAATAGTGCGCTTTCCATCCGTGTCTATTCAAAATAACAACGGTGGCAGCCCGCAAAGATTTTCCTCTTAAAAAAGCAGGCGCACCAGACGTGTGCGGCTAACACCACGAACGCCGTACCCGGTCTTTGTTGTGCGGTTGGGCATCCAATGAATAAAGGAGCATAAATGAGAAAGGAAAACAATATGCCATCATTGTCGAAGAAGACGACACGTTCCTTGGCAAGACGGCCTTCGTTTTGTCAAGGTGGTTTACCAATGAACTGTTGTTGAAGTTTCACCAAATATATAAATGTCTATGTAAAACATGTCCGTGGTCTGCCATCCCTAACTCACCGGAACTTATTACTAGTTTTATTTCACTTACTTACCGTACATCATTACTAGTTTTATTTTCAGGTGTGAAAAAGTGGCAGGCCTTTCTTGTCAGGGTAGCAGCATTTATCAGGTTTGGGTCGCGGATGACATTCCAAAAACTGTGTCCGGCTTGGCCGCGAGTCGAACTTCAAACCCGACACGTACCTCTCAGTCTGCCCATCTGTGCATTTGTGTTGTCTTACGTGACTGGAACACTTGCCGTAGTCATTAAGTGCTTCGCAAAAGTCGGAGGAAGCGCGAAAGTACAAACAGAATCAAACCTGGAGGATCGAAGGTGATTCCCAGTGGCCCAGTGGTCACCATGGTAACCATGGCAACAGTGGTCACCATGGTCACCTGGTAACTATCAGAACATGAATTTCAGTTAATACGTAAATTGTCAAATGCGAGTATTTCCGTTGAACTTCATCAAAGTGATCGAAATCAGCGAGCGTGTACACATGGTGACCATTTAAATATGCAATTAACATCAAAAGCTCTCGAAGAGTCTCGAATTAGTCAAGCTAAATCAACAACTTTTGGAATCACGTTAGATTCAAGAAGCAAAGCCAACGACAGCAACTTTGACACATGATGACTTTTCCACTGCTTGAAGTAGAAGTTCCCATCAATTAAAACGACTGTTTACGCAGGGCGAACATGGATGACGTGCGTAAGGGCACGTCAAATCAGTCAATTAGAGAGCACTGCGTCAGCTGCACAGATAAATGAAAACTCGTGTCTAAAGTGGAGCCAGATGCAGCGTGGGCGGTCGCTGGGTCCTTCATGTATCAACTTGCCGCCGGGGGGTGACAAGAAATATGACTGATTGAACCTTGGTGGGTGAAATACGACTAGGCTGACCTCGGTCGGGTGAAATATGACTTGTCTGATCTCGGCAGGTGAAATATGATTAGTCTGATCTTAGAGGGTGAAATGTGACTAGTTTGACCTGGGCCGGGGAAATATGACTAGTCTGACCTCGATCGGGTGAAATATGGCTATTCTGGCCTCAGTCGGGTAAAATGGTCCTGGCCAGTTCTGAGGACCGGACTCCAGCAAACAAGTACCATCCAAAGCGATCAAAGCGGTTCACTTTGTCCCCGGCTGGTCTACCGTCACCTAGATGGGCAAGATAGAATACCTGACACAGTTCCCTGCACCTTCAGCGATCCTTGATCCGATAGTTCGACTGGTAACGGGGCGGACCTCTCGGAGAGCCATCTCTACACCATCTCGACGCGCCACCATCCGGCAGCTACATATCCCCGATAGCCGAGCCGATCTGCCCAACACCGTACCGCGTCCGAGATGATTCATTTGACGACCGCTTTACGGCGTCCTCATCCCGCGGCGCGGCGAAAAGCGCTCTCCAAACGGCATCGGCGGTCCCCCTCATTTCAGCCGCCGCGGCGCGTGCCAGAGTGGCGAAAGCCCCGCCATCGTCCACACATATTTCATGACCAATCACCGGCGACGATGCGCAGCTCCAGCCACGCCGCCCCGACCTGGGCGCCCCGGGCGCGGTGCGGCGGCCGCGGCGGCTGCGACCGACGGCGCTCTCGCCTGATACCGTGCGCCGGCCGCGGCGCCGGTCGAGCTGGCCGGGGCGCCATCGCGAGCAGCGCGAAGCGCGGCCGGCGCCGCGCACCACCGGGCGGCGCACGGGCCATTGGGCGCGCTCGGAGGTTCGTCACCAGCGGCGCGCCGGACAGGCCGAGCCGCAGCCTGGACGAGGCGGATCGTGCCGTCTCTGGCCGGAGGGTGGTGGGCGGCAGCCGCTGACGCCTGCTACTCCACTGGCTGACACTCAGTCTGATACGTTTCCAGCAAACTGGATATGGAATGCACCATTCGCTACCCACATGGGTTATCTACAATCATTCAAGCAACTGTGGATCCCGTGTGCTCCAGTCAATAAGCGAGTCTCACAAAACAGTCTCGAGATGTTTGGTACGACCAACCACGCCGTCCGGGCATTCTCATCAACTCTCTAAGCGAAGCATCGCGAAAATTGTACCGGGCAAACGTGGTACAATACTTTTCGCAATACCTTTTCCAACACTTTGCTTACAGGCCACCCTATAGAGCAAGCCAATCGCTGTAAGCTGGCCGTGCTAGGCGGCACTGGGAGGTCGCCAACCCACGGTGGCCGCGAGACCGCGGAGGCTGACCATGATCAAGGTCAACCGGCCTGGGGCGCGCCCAACCGACACGCCTTCAATCTAATAGGCGTCAGCGAACGGCACAGCCATGCGAAATTACCCGGATGAGGCAGGTTTGGGGTCGGTGCCGTTCACTGCCACCACTGATGGCACGTCCCTGTCCCAATGTGACGGTACCGTCCCAGATACGGGAACAACTCTACAGACACGCATAATGAAGTTTTACACCAACAGGGCCGCGTGGACTCTGCGGACTGCAAACGACGGCCATCTCCTTTTCAGCAACGGGAAATGGAGGGAACACGTTCGAGGGTATTAAATGTGTCGATCCATGGGTGTCGGACACGCAATGACCTGCGTGCGAGCCACTGACCAGCTGGTAGGTGGTGAGGCCGATCACCTCCATCTGACCGTCGGAAGTCGACTGGTCCCGGCCGGCCCACGGGTGCGTGCCGCCGCCGTAGCTGAAACACGGCGGACGGCACACGGTCACTGGACATCGCAACCTAAAGACGACCGACACCACACAGCCACTGGACATCGCAACCTAAACACGGCGGACGTCACACCGTCACTGGACATCGCAACCTAAACACGGCGGACACCACACAGCCACTGGACATCGCAACCTAAACACGGCGGACGTCACACAGCCACTGGACATCGCAACCTAAACACGGCGGACGCCACACCGCCACTGAACATCGCAACCTAAACACGGCGGACACCACACAGCCACTGGACATCGCAACCTAAAGACGACCGACACCACACGGTCACTGGACATCGCAACCTAAACACGGCGGACACCACACCGCCACTGGACATCGCAACCTAAACACGGCGGACGTCACACCGTCACTGGACATCGCAACCTAAACACGGCGGACGGCACACGGTCACTGGACATCGCAACCTAAACACGGCGGACACCACACAGCCACTGGACATCGCAACCTAAAGACGACCGACACCACACGGTCACTGGACATCGCAACCTAAACACGGCGGACACCACACCGCCACTGAACATCGCAACCTAAACACGGCGGACACCACACAGCCACTGGACATCGCAACCTAAAGACGACCGACACCACACGGTCACTGGACATCGCAACCTAAACACGGCGGACACCACACCGCCACTGGACATCGCAACCTAAACACGGCGGACGCCACACCGTCACTGGACATCGCAACCTAAACACGGCGGACGGCACACGGTCACTGGACATCGCAACCTAAAGACGACCGACACCACACAGCCACTGGACATCGCAACCTAAAGACGACCGACACCACACCGTCACTGAACATCGCAACCTAAACACGGCGGACACCACACCGCCACTGGACATCGCAACCTAAAGACGACCGACACCACACGGTCACTGGACATCGCAACCTAAACACGGCGGACGTCACACCGTCACTGGACATCGCAACCTAAACACGGCGGACACCACACCGCCACTGAACATCGCAACCTAAAGACGACCGACACCACACCGCCACTGGACATCGCAACCTAAACACGGCGGACACCACACCGCCACTGGACATCGCAACCTAAACACGGCGGACACCCACACCGCCACTGGACATCGCAACCTAAACACGGCGGACACCACACCGCCACTGGACATCGCAACCTAAACACGGCGGACGTCACACCGTCACTGGACATCGCAACCTAAAGACGACGGACACCACACAGCCACTGGACATCGCAACCTAAACACGGCGGACGTCACACCGTCACTGGACATCGCAACCTAAAGACGACGGACACCACACAGCCACTGGACATCGCAACCTAAACACGGCGGACACCACACCGCCACTGGACATCGCAACCTAAACACGGCGGACACCACACCGCCACTGGACATCGCAACCTAAACACGGCGGACACCACACCGCCACTGGACATCGCAACCTAAACACGGCGGACACCACACCGTCACTGGACATCGCAACCTAAACACGGCGGACGCCACACAGCCACTGAACATCGCAACCTAAACACGGCGGACGCCACACCGTCACTGAACATCGCAACCTAAACACGGCGGACGGCACACCGTCACTGGACATCGCAACCTAAACACGGCGGACGGCACACCGTCACTGGACATCGCAACCTAAACACGGCGGACGCCACACAGCCACTGAACATCGCTACCTAAACACGGCGGACGGCACACCGTCACTGGACATCGCAACCTAAACACGGCGGACGCCACACAGCCACTGAACATCGCAACCTAAACACGGCGGACGGCACACAGCCACTGAACATCGCAACCTAAACACGGCGGACGTCACACCGTCACTGGACATCGCAACCTAAACACGACGGACACCACACAGCCACTGAACATCGCAACCTAAACACGGCGGACGTCACACCGCCACTGAACATCGCAACCCAAACACGGCGGACGTCACACCGTCACTGGACATCGCAACCTAAACACGGCGGACGCCACACAGTCACTGGACATCGCAACCTAAACACGGCGGACGTCACACCGTCACTGGACATCGCAACCTAAACACGACAGGTGTCACACCGTCACTGGACGTTGCAACCTAGACGCGACAGTCGGCTGTCGCCGCCAGCTGACAATTGAACGCGGCAAATCCAATGTCACTGAAATACGTCAGCCTCACATCGCCACGCACATTAATGTACCCGCGCCATGAGAGGCATTTCCTTGTATACATCAGCATTGTGACTGAAACACAACGAGGTGCCTCATGTATTAAAAAGACCTTTACGTGAGGCCCGGTATATCCTTTTAACTATATTCCTGCCCAGGCAACTGGACCACATGACCCCACATAAAACACTACCGATTGCAAACACTGAAACTGCCCCTGCATCTTTTTCAAATCGCAATGTGTAAGCGCACGGGTCTGGAACTACTTAATTTCACTAATCCAGCCTTCTTCTCTCCCATCACTGACCTAAAAGCGATCACGAATAAAATGAACCATATGTAGCCACGTAACAGCAAATTGTAGCCTAAAAAGGGTGCAATTTATAGAAGTACCTTATCGATCTCGTTACAAACATTCACCAATGACGTCACAGCAGTAACCAGGCGAACCGGCCACCAACCCAGCCGCTGCCTATTCTCGGAGCATCCAAGAGCAGCACAGCCTTCCCAGCGGGCGCACCAGAATCCGCAGCCTTATGGGTAAGCACAAACGCTATTAATAACGGGCTTGATCTACAGATTTCTCGGCATAATTGCGCGCATCCTACCGGCTGTGTGAGCAGGTGCGACAGACTGGCCAAGACGCAGGGGAGGCGCCCCGATCCGGTCCGTGCTCGCTCGGCAACAGGTGAGAGGACGAGCCGGCGCCGACACACAGAGCCCCGCGCGAGGGGAAAGCCGTGGTGCAGATCACAGCACGGGGGCCGGCAACACATGAGAGGACGAGCCGGTGCCGACACACAGAGCCTCGCGCGAGGGGTAAGCCGTGATGCAGATCACAGCACGGGGGCCGGCAACACATGAGGGGACGAGCCGGCGCCGACACACAGAGCCCCGCGCGAGGGGTAAGCCGTGGTGAAGATCACAGAGAGGAGGCTGGCAACACATGGGAGGACGAGCCGGCGCCGACACGCAGAGCCCCGCGCACGGGGTAGGCCGTGGTGAAGATCACAGCACGGGGGTCAGTCCACCTGGCTGACAGCAGGCGGAGAAGACAGACGTTGTAGCTCACACCAGGTAGCAGTAAGCTCCGTGGCACTGCGTGGGAAGAATGGATCAAGAACCACCCCCGTACCCAGTCTATTGGAAGTTCTTACGCCTCTACCAGCAAGAACCGCCGTCCACCAAGCAAACAAAAACTTTTGCCGAGTGTAGCGAAATTACATTACATTGTGGCGATACGACATCCATATAACACCGTCAAAACTGTGGCATGCCATGCAATGTCGCTGATGAATGAAAAGCAAAAACAGTAATCACATTAGCGTAGCAGCGCAAAGCAAGGCTGCAAATTGACGTTTTCGCATACAAGTCATCTTTGTATTGCTACCTGACACCGTCACTGAATATAAGCTTCGTAAGGCAGTACTGTACAGGGTCCAGCCGGGACACTTTTCCTTATTAGATGCGTCACTCCAAATATGCACAGCGAAGCTACGCTCCAAACGGTCAGCGTCGCCTTCTGACCAGCCGCTGGCGGCTCCTGACTGATCATCCGCCCCCCTCCCTCCCCTCCACCCCGGTTAGGGGGGGGGGGGGGGGCTCAGAAGGGACGGAAGGTCGTCTTTGCCCGCACAGGCAAAACGAGGAATGTTCGACACCTTCCGGTCATTGGTATCGATATTGACTGAGGAATCCAGAATACAAACCAAGAATGCCGAGTACGCATGTTGTGATTATACAATCACTAATAGCCGCAAGCTTATTTGACAGAGCTTCACATCTCTCCAGTTCGTTCTGCATGCTTGTAATCACGCTCAACTTGCAATGGCTGTTACAGCCATCTTTGCCACCATCTTTAACTGGCATTGCCCACGGGATCAGGAGCTTTATCAGCGTTTCACCGACTACTTCAGCAGCTCTTCCGCAAAACCACAAGCTACCGGTATGAAGGGCGGCAGGGCAGCACCTGTCCCCGACCCGCTCGTCTCAATAGCAGTCCGGACCTCAGCCTCTGGAACCGAACGGATCTCAGCCGACGCGGCCACCTTCTGTGGCGACTACGCGCGCCCGCGGCACCCTCACATCACCTGCGCCGCGACCGCGGGCCGGTCCGCCGCCTCCGCCGGGCGGCCGGCTGAACGGCACCGGTGCGCAAGACATGCGGTGCATCCAAGCGTCTGCAGATCCGGCGCCAGATCCGCCGCGGACGGCGGCGAGTCGCGACGGCGCCGCGCGGTCGATACGCCGAACTATTCATAGCCGGACGAGCGGGCGGCGCGTCCAATCAGTGTCCTCACATCATCCACGCACGCACAGGAATGGTCGTCCGGCGGCCGAAGGAGCGGCTCCCACGGCCGAGACGGCCGCGCCGCCCCGTCCGCCGGCGCGGCTGCCCTGACCCCATCCGGCCGTGCACGGCAGCTGATGGACGGACGCGGCCGGCCGTGCGTCAGGCGCTGGCTGCTAAACCCCGCTAATGCGGCTGCCGGGACGGGATCAGGCGGCGCCGGGCGCTGGCGCAGGCGAGCTCAGGACCCGGCCGCCGAGCCGCGCAGCCAGCGGCGCCCGACTTTAACAGCCAGCGGCAGGCTTTGTTACGCCGCCGGTGTTCTAAGCGGGTGCGCTTTCGCACGCGCGCTGCTCGGGTGCAGGCAACGCTCCGCCGCTAACATCAACACGCCTTTTCGCCGGGGGAGACCGCCGAGCAAACAACTCTGTTAGCCCCAATGCATACATTCATATCGCTCAGGCAGACGAGACTGTCGCGTAACCAGCCAGGAGAGCACCGCGGAAAATGTGCCTCAGCGGGAGCTGATGCGGGCGGACGGGGCGGCCCGGCGGCTGCAGAGCAACCGCAGGTGGAGTCAACAGGCCACCCGTCACCACGCGCTGCACGGCCGCTGTGCCACCCACCTGGGGATGTTGAGGAAGAGTATGGCGTGCACCTTGTGCTCGCGAAGCTTCGGCGTGATGTCGTGGTCGTCGCAGACGATGGTTACGTGCTCCGAGAGGTCCTTCCACCGGCGCTGCAGCAGGTCCTTGCCGCCCGCCTGGCCGTAGAACATCTTGTTCCGGAGCCGGGAGCTGAACTTGTCGGGTCGAGCCTCTGTGTGAGCAGACGGGGCACGCCGTCAGCACGGGCCATCAAGAGGACGGACGCCGACGCCATCAACGAAGAACCAGCGGGGCGATCACACGATCGCTGCCAGTCGGCGGGGCTGATCAGGCGCACAAACACCAGCCAGCGGCGCGACCGAACGGACAAACACCGGCCAGCGGCGTGACCGAACGGACAAACACCAGCCAGCGGCGCGACCGAACGGACAAACACCGGCCAGCGGCGTGACCGAACGGGCAAACACCAGCCAGCGGCGTGACCGAACGGACAGACACCAGCCAGCGGAGTGACCGAACGGACAAACACCGGCCAGCGGCGTGACCGAACGAACAAACACCAGCCAGCGGCGTGACCGAACGAACAAACACCACCCAGCGGCGCGACCGAACGGACAAACACCAGCCAGCGGCGTGACCGAACGGACAAACACCAGCCAGCGGCGTGACCGAACGAACAAACACCAGCCAGCGGCGCGACCGAGCGGACAAATACAGATTGCCGACGACGGTCGCACCAGCGAAGCCGATGCACCAAAATTAGCGGCGCGAACACCGGTCATCGAGAGCGCAGTAGCGACGCACCAACAAAACACTTCTGTCGAAGCTCGCGAGCATTTCAAACGCCTTGCACATTGGGTCGTATAAAGCGAGGGTAAGAAGCTGCAGGCGTACTATGCACTCCACTCCACTAAATCACCCAGCAGCGTTCTGCCGCGCACTGCCGCGCATCGAGGGCGGGCCGCGGCTTTACGCTCGCGGCCGCACGCACGCCGCTTCCGCCAGCCAACGGCTGAGTGCGCCGTACGCATTCAACTCAGCCAACGCCGGCAAGCCTGAGCCGTCCAGACGCAACAGCATTGCTGTCTACCAATTATTTAGGTACGAGACCACAAATCAATACCGACTGTCAATTACCCGCCCTCCGTGAAAGTGTCCTTTGCGGACGCTTTGCAGGCAAAAAAACACCGGCTATTGGATTACGGAAAGAGCACAGCCGCCATGAAAGGAACAACGAGACGAGGTAGAAATATACGACTGAATTATGACCGCGGGTCTAACGGATGCCCCTGCGCAGCACACAATGAACACAAATGAGCGCAACACATAAAAGCAAAGTCCGTCTCGATGAATTCAGCCTTCTCATTGTCCGCCTGTCGATAGGCTGACGCTCCATGCTCTAACGAGGCATCACACTGAACGCAGCCAGCGTCGGCGCTGCATTCGTCATAATCTTGGTCACGCGTACAGCACCCTGGAAAGGTAGCCGTCCCTGGCATTCCAAGCCAGGCCTGCGACCGGTCGCGGCCTTTGCCGCCGCCCCCGCGCTGACGCCAGCACGCAGATCATATCCACCTCTCGCTGGCGCCATCTGGCTGATCGGCGGACTGTGCAGCGGATGTTCGTTCCCGCGGCGCCGGCGACGGACGCTGTCGGCCATTCCAGTACGCTGCGGACACGGAGACAGCTTCGCGAGCGGCCTCCCGGCGCGTCCCGCTCACGCGTAGTGGGCACGGGGCCCCTCCCACTGGACCTCTAATGCCCCCCCCCCCAGCCCCTGATACCGTCTGCTGACATCAGCTGCTGACAATTTCACCAGATGTCCGTGCGTGGGCTCTGTACGCACGCAAATTTCACGCCATATCAAGACGTGCCCCCGCTTGCGTTCGTGTCCAGAATATCTCCCGTGAATGTATGCCGGGCGCCACGCTTTCGCGCGTGAGGCCTGAAACGGATACGCTCCGAGGTGCTATAACCTGAACCGGATATCCTCCGCGATGGGCGTAGTTCCCGCTGCCGAGTCCGCCGGCAGCTGATACCTGCGGGCCTGCGTGCGTGGCTGGCTGTCACGACCGAGCCGTCGGCCGGCGGGAGATGATGGCATTCTGAGATGAGATGAGGCGTTCTGTGCGCGCCTGCGTTTTCGTCGCCCCGCAATGAGGCAGGGAGCCGGGTCCAAACAGCACCGGGAGTGCCGCACCGTTCTCGGCTGGCCCGGCGCGGCTGCGGTGGGACGCTCAGCGCCAGCGGCGGCCCTCAGGCTGACCGTGTACCTGTCACATGGCCTGCAGCTGCCGCGGAAGAGCGCACCTCAATGCTGGGAGTTCGCCCAAGCCGTGCGCAGAGGCGTGGGGTCGAGCCTGGCTGGTGAACTGGAGCTCCCCCCCCCCCCCCCGCTCCTGTCGGTGGGGGAGAGTGCAACGCCAATGAAGCTAGAGCAGAGGTAATAGTCACTGTAGCACTGAAGCAGTCCTGCGCGCCGTCAAATATCACACTTTACAGAGAGTGTCCACATTTCGGTAGGGTTCTAAACTGAAATAGTCATCTTGAAGATCATTCGGTGCAGTTCACAGCCCTACCCTTCTTAAGACCTAATCTAGTTTTCTGACATACACGCCCGCGAAAATGAAGAAAGTATATCGGGGAGAGTATTTCCAAGTCACATGACATTTATGACGTCATAATAAGGCCACTCAATTTCTGCCATCTCATAAGCCATGTGGCGATCAAGGCTGAAAAATTACAATGGTCGAAACGCTTATGTCTGGCGTTCGTGAGCACGATTTCCAGATACAACGGCCGTCAATCGGCTCTCAATCAATGATGTCTAAAGCATGATGGCGTAGTCAAACAATGACGCATCGAGAAACACTTTCACTAAACAAAGACTTTGTGTTGTCTTGAGCAATCGTTTCTACTTAAAAGGTATACCGATAGTTGTATGTGAGCATGTTGCATCGTATCCGATGCTTGTCTCAATATCTTCAAATGTGAAACACTCCCTTTAGCGACCGAGTCAGGCGTTTGGGGGCAGGCGGGAGCCAGCCGGCACGTGCACCTAAGCGCCTGAACGCTGCACGGTGGTCAGGCCGTCTCAGGTGCGCCGCACCCGCGGCAGACGCGGACTCTGGCCAGCCTTCCTCCGGCCGCGTCCCATCTCAACGAGACCAGAGTATTGCGTCGCCGCCCGTCGCCCCACCTCGTCCGGCGACAGATCAACGAGTGTTGGTCGTCACGCGCGACGCAAATAACGCTACACAAGCTGGTCTGGGCCGCCCCCAGCCACGGGCCACACTTCCTCCTCTTCAGTGGTCATAACGCCGTGCCAGGCAGCGGCTGCCTACGGCCGTAGCGGCGGCCAGCACAGGCGCCTGGTCTCGCTGTCATGCAAATGTCATTCGCATTCGCACTCCTTGGGTCCGGAGAAGTCGCGTCGATAGTTATAAGTTACATAGTTTCGTATCCGTTGAAGACGTGACCAAATCGTCCAATGAATAACGGCGAAAACCACGTATGCTATGTTACGTTAATTTAAAAGTACGGGATGTACGTTAGCGCATGTGCGACTCACAGAATGTCAGATGGGCCATCAGATGCCAGAGCTACGCACGGAGTTCTCGCATGATTTCCTTCCAGCAATATCGCTATGGACGGCGACAGATAACTCACACTGGGCTTGAGCATCAGTCAGGCTCATGGAAACCTCGGCATTCCACAAAGGTTTTCTCTTCCCGGATTCATCCAGATTTCCGAGCTATTCTAATAAACCGCCATTCTCGTATCCGACGTTCTGGCTACGAGAAATAGAGCAAAAGGGATAAGGAAAGAACGCGAAATGGTTCCTTCGCTAAGCTCGGGCCATATATTCCTCTCCATAATGTGGGCGTCACGGCATTTCCGCAGCCGAGAGCATGGAGCTAGGGAAACTCGGTGTTTATGTTACAGATGCTCCCCCCCCCCCCAAGCCCTCGTTGATACTCACTAAAACAACTTTGATGCATTTAATCGAGTCAACGTGCTTGAGCTGAATGCTCGGAGGCATTTCCTAACAGGAGGCCCCAGGGACAATCAGGCTCGCCCGTACTTAAACGAGAGCCGTCAGCCGCGTAAAACACCGTCCCACACACTGCCCCGGGTCCTAGAACCCTAGCTCGTACCAAAGCACAAACTTGCAGAGCTGTAGAGTGCTTCCCTCGGGCCCATCGGAACGCTTTCGGGACTGCATAATCGTTCGGCTCACCCCCTCGCCTGAGCATGCATATGGCTGCACGGCTGTTCCAGTCTACGGGCCTATGGGCGCCATATGACCAACGTAGTCGGTGCGCCCAAGGCCCAAATCATCATCATCATCATCATCATCATCATCATCATCATCATCATCATCATCAGTCCACGGACCGGCGATTTCAACACCGCGCCTCCCGCAATCGGTTGACGTTGCAATGCAGGAGCCCCGTGACCCTGACTCACGAGGCAGTCACACATCCGTGCCGAGGCAGTGTCAGCCGAGCCGCGATCCTTACTTGCCTGTGTTTTATACGTCTGCCATCACGTAGGTGCAAAATATTTGTTTTTCATCTTCAGCAAGCACAGCCGCCGGCTAAACCCGAATGGAACAGCCGCCCGAATAGGATAGCAAGGCTGCCTTGAGCGCAGAACACCCTCCGGCACAGATACGGAGGTGAGTGGATCCCATCCGTAAACGGCACCCGCCTACAGCCGCCAGCCCAGCCGCGGGGAGTTTGTCTCGAGCGAAGCTCCACATCCCAGCCACGTGATGACGTCACGGGTCACCGAGCGCCGGCGGCGGCCGTGTCGACGCGGAGGCGGCGGCGCTGGCGCTGATTGGCCGCCTGCCGCGCCCCGAGCTTTCGGAGCGCGCCGACCACCGCAGCCGCGCCAGAAATAGCCAATCCGGCAGCGGCAGACGCGACACCTCGGCGGCGACCGGGACGGACGCGACTTAGCTCTGCAGTTGGGGCCTGCGCCGCCACCTGGCCCCGGCAGATCGCGCGGGCCGTCGGGCCGGGGACGGACTACGCTGGCGCCCGGCGCGTCGAGGCGACGGCGCGGCGGCGGCGCGGTCTCGGCCACGCCACTGCCGAGCGCTGCCGCGGCAGCGCGGTGCCATCCCTCTCGGATGGCGTCGCGCCCAGCCAGCCAGGCGCTGCGTCGGCGTCCTCAGCACGGTCCAGCGCGCGCTGCCGCCGCGGTCGCCGCGACGCAGCGGCGATCAATCGGAACCTCATTTGAACAACGCCCCAAACCGGCACGAATAGCCGGACCGCCGGCAATGAAATGAAGATCCGACCTGGTGCTAGCCCCGCCACGCCAGAGGGCTGGAGGGGGAGCCCGGGTGTGGGGAGGAACTGAGAGCCAGGGTGCGAGGAGGAAGGGGATCTAGGGCGTGAGGAGGTAGGGGATCTAGGGTGTGGGGAGGCAGTGACAGTCAGGATGTAAGGAGGTGGTAGTGCGAGCCAGGGGATGTGAGGAAGCGGGGGAGCCAGGGTGTGAGGAGGCGGGAGAGACCGGGTGTGAGCAGGCAGTGCAGCGAGAGACCGGGATGGGGAGGCGATAAGAGCCAGGATATAAGCCGGGGGAGACGATATAAGCCGGTGGAGACCGGGTATGGGAAGGTAGTGAGAGGCAGGGCGTGTGGAGGCAGTGAGAGCCCGGGTGTGAGAAGGCGGGGGTAGCCGGAGTGTGGGGAGGCACAAGGGTCGTGCGTGGACAGGACGGTAGCGAACGACCCGGGAACGCGGCCGAGGCTGGGACCTGGGTAGCGATGGTGACGTCAAGTAGCCGTGGCGTGTTCGACAGCCGCAGACGTGGGAGCGCCGGTCGTCGGACGTGGGAGCGCCGGTCGAGCCCACCGCGCACCGATTATCTCCCACGCACATTCCTGACACGTAGAACGCGCTCACAAGATGGGATATCAGCACAGACACTTCGGCCGCATTTAACTCCGAGCACATATCCCCATCGGCCCGTGAACGCCCTCGGCACACGTGACTCCATACGCTCATCCGGCGGAGTCACTGACCTCTGGCCTCGTGGAACTCGAGCGCAATATGGGCGTCCACGCCGAGCGAGAAGTAGTTGTTGATGACATTGAGCGGCAGGTTGTCCTTGCCCTCCTCGCTGGGCTCAGCGCGCTCGTTCTTCTGCACGGCTGCCTCCCACCGGTCCAGCTCCTGCGACTCGCCGTCGCTAATGTTGCACAGTATCTTGGAGATGGGCTCGTCCGTGTAGCCCTGCGGACAGCGAGCGGGCGTCAGAGCGAGCAGAGCCAGAGAACGGGGCAGAGGTGGGTCGACTCCGGCGCAGGCTCACACTGGAAGCATCGCCGAGCAGCTTCCCCGACTAGCGGAATGAGCAGAGTCCATGTGCTACTTGGACACGGTGGCGGATCACGGATGACGGGTGACAGATCACGGATCACAGATCACGGCCAGAGATAGCAGCCGCATTGGCGGAATGATCTGTGGCAGGTTTGGGTTCACACGACCGCTACCGAAATACACGGCTTCCTGGAACAGCGCAGGAGCCGGGCGGAGCCTCGCAGTCGCTCTGCAGCTTCCGGATAACTCGACGCTCCAAGACGAAGGCAAAGGGTACCCCGGTGGGCGGGCGGGGGCGCCTCATCACGCCACGCCCGGGCGGAGACCGAGCAGGCAGGCGGGCCCGCCTCAAGCGGGGACCGTCAGCACTAGCACTAGCACCAGCGCCAGTACCAGCACCAGCACCAGCGCCAGTACCAACACCAGCTTCCCCACAGCCCACCCCAGCTCGGCACACAGAATGAGTCCACGTCCATCGACACGTCACCAGCTAGCCGCCGAGCGGGGAGCGGGGGAGGGGGAGGGGGGGGGGGGGCATGCCGACAGACTGACATCGAGGAAACCCACCAAGCCGAACAAGTCGTCCTGCATTGACCGTGACCCATCCATCAGAGATAAAACCACCTCCCAACCGACGCAGCACCGAAACTAAGCTTCTCCCTCAAGCACAAAAGTCTACCGAGAGCATCTCCGTTCACCCCCCTCCCCCTCCCCCTTTCCGCCAGCTGCAGACTGCTCTCTCGCCCCTCCCCTCTCCTTTCCCAGGCCGAGGAGCTATGTCGCGGAGGAGTTCGGCTCGGAAACGGCTAATCGTCGGGGGCGTCACGCCCCGCCGCTCTCACCGGCCGTGGCAGCTATCTAGTAAATTATAGCCTAATGACACACATTGCATGGCGCTCATTTCCTCGTTTGGACCATTCCGATGAGAGCGCATTAAATTTCCATCCAAACTGCACAAAATGTGGCTCGTGCAGGACAAATGGCCTCGATCACGCGCCAAGTAAGACCATAAATAAGACTGCAAAATGCTGCCTTGAGTGAGAATACCTGTACAATGGCGCCGTTCCCTGCAGTTGGTGCGCGCCGTCTTTAGGCCGCGGGCGGAATCGTTGACACCGCTGCGAGCGCGGCTTGCTGTCTCGCCATCGCTCAACTTTTGCCCTGAGCATGGCTGCCGGCAGCTACAATCGCGGATTTCCCCCCTCTAGCCTCGGCAGAGGTTAAACCCCGCTCACCTCGCTGACGCAAGGCGTCGAAACAACGACACGTGACCAGGCCTGCGTCCTCTAGCAGGCTTCCCATCTCATTCGGCAGATCAATACACATTACATAATGCGACGGAGCGCGCGATTGTTACAGCTGGCTGGCATCGCACCCGTTGTTGATATGGTGGTAATGAGCCATTAATATAATGTACCAATTTGCCAATTTCGCGTCTGCGTGCAACGATCACAAATGTCTTGCGCTACTGACTGAGGCACGCACAACCATTAGCGGACTTACGACAGATTAATGACCGGAAATTAACACAAATTCATCAGCTGGGCCGGGCGTCGCTGGAGCTAGCTTTTGTCAAGGAAGCCTGCCTAACTGCGGGAATATCTCGTTTGCGGCCCAGTAAGGGCGCCAGTAACCTGTTAACCACAATTCTGCTCTCAACGTGCCTCTCCCACCCACTCACACGACACCCATACACACCCTGATGACATTTGCAGGCGTCGGTCTCATTTTGCCCGGCCGGGCCTCGGCGGGCAATCCGGCTGCGGTGAAGCCCCGAATTCTGTCCCTCGCGCCGCCGTCTCTGAGGCACCTAGCACTCAAAGTAAACAGCAGCGGCCCCGCCCCACGGGCTATGTGTTCCATCAACCAGTTCTAGCATCTCGGCCGCAGGCCCGATGTCCCCGCCGTCGTCCCGGTGACCCGGTGGCCTGTACCGGCGTGCCGGCGGCCTTGACCTGCCGAGGTAGTGCGGATGCGGTCTCTCCTACCACACGTCAGCGGCTCTCATTGGCAGCTGGCGGACCCCGCTCGCCTCGGTCGTGTCCGCCGGTCTCACCGACCAGCACGCCAGCGGCTCCCACTGGCAGCCGGCGGACACCGCTTGCCTCGGCCGTATCTGCCGGTCTCTCCGACCAGCACGCCAGCGGCTCCCATTGGCAGCCGGCGGACCCCGCTCGCCTCGGCCGTATCTGCCGGTCTCTCCGACCAGCACGTCAGCGGCTCCCATTGGCAGCCGGCGGACCCCGCTCGCCTCGGCCGTATCTGCCGGTCTCTCCGACCAGCACGTCAGCGGCTCCCACTGGCAGCCGGCGGACCCCGCTCGCCTCGGTCGTGTCTGCCGGTCTCTCCGACCAGCACGCCAGCGGCTCCCATTGGCAGCCGGCGGACCCCACTCGCCTCGGCCGTGTCCGCCGGTCTCTGCGGCGAGCACCCTGGCCTGGCGCCTGTGGCGGCCCGCGCCAGGGATCCGCTGATATCCGGCACAACCACGTGACCGGCATCTCGGCAAACAGGTCCACGGAGCGACCAAATGGATGGCGCATATTGCGCGGCTCGCATTACTGCCCGGCCTTTGATCTGCATAATGGTGCTGATCAAAGGTGGCGCGGGGTGTGCAGCCGCTGGCCGTTCATGTGGGAGACATGTGTGGCTATTGGATGACATCCGCGCCAACGACGGCGAGGAAACGCACTTCAGATGAAAGCCAGTGGAAGTTCTGACCAGTTCACCTGGCATAAAAAGCCCAGAGCGCGTTGCGCAGCCATTCACTCGATTGCTGGAACAGCTTGCATACCCCCGCCGCTACGCAGTTGAAAACGGCAGACTGATGTATCCATGGTTACTGCCGGTGCAGCGCGTGCGAGACTGAAACGCTGCCGACGGAAGCGGCCCGCACGCGGCCATCGACCGTCACCCGCCGGCAACAGCCGCTGGGACGTCTGCAGCACACCGCGCTGGCGGCATAAGGTCTGGAACACGCAAACAGAGTCGCACCGGCCCCACCCAGCGCACGCCGATGGGCGGCGGTCCTCACAGACTGGCCGGACGCTGCGGGAGCGGCGGCGGCGGCACACCCCAGCGCGGGCCGCTGGGAACGGGCGCGAACTGGCCGCAGCCGGCGCCGAGGGCGCTCCGGCGGCCACCGAGTCAGAGGGGGCGGTCTTAACGGCTGGCCCGCTGTATCTGCATGGGCTGCGATAGCGGTGGAACGGCCGCTGACGGTCGCTGACGGCGTCCGACGGCCATCGACGGCCACTCGGCAGATGGCGGCCGCGGGAGCGGGTCAGCCGGTCCGGACGGACGAGCCGACACCGCGCCGCAGAGGTCAGTGCGGGCACGGAGGATGATGGAAGACGGGTACGGGGACGGGGCCAGCACGCGACGGGCACGGGCTTGGGGTCGGGGTCGGGACGGGGACGGAATATCAGCGTAAGACAGCAACAGCGTGAGCAAGGGGGGCGAGAAAGCGATAGCGAGAAAGAGAAACAGGGTGCGGAGAGGAGAGGAAAATGAAGAGAAGAGAGGAAAAGATGAAAAGAAGGATACGGAGCTGACAAGAAAGGAGGGAAAAGGAAGAAAGGAGAAAGGGAAGAAGGGAAAGACAGTATGCATACATACACGCACACACACACACACACACACACACACGCACACGCACACGCACACGCACACGCACACGCACACGCACACGCACACGCACACGCACACGCACACGCACGCACGCACGCAAACACACACACACACACACACACACACACACACACACACACACACACACACACACACACACACACACACATATATATATATATATATATATATATATATATATATATACATGTACAGAGAAGACAAAAAACATACAAGACGACTGGAAGAGCAAGACCACGGAGAGGAAAAGCGCGACAGACCGATCGCAGAAGATGTCAGAGCAAGTCCACGACCAAGCGACGAGGCGAGCGGCCCCAACAGCCCTTTGGGACTGACGTGGATCCAATATCGAGCCGTGATTGCCGCGACCAGGGACCGGCGGAGAACACGGGAAGTAACTTGGATGGCGCGCGTCCCCGCACGCCTCCGCGGCCCAACTGCGCCGCCAGCAATCACGGCGCAAATGGTTCTGCTGTGCACCACGTCCGGAGCCTTGTCTCGACCGGAAGGATCTCCAGATTGGCCCGGTGGCCGATCGATGGCCGGCCGGGAGAGGGCCGTCGGTCGGGAGGAGGCGGCGTGTGAGGGCGCGGCCCACCGGCCGGACGGCACGCCGAGCCGGCGCCGAACGGCCGGCCTGAGGGCGACGCTGGGGCGTTAAGGCGCGCCCGGTTGTGGTGCAGATCGCTGGGAGGGCGCCCGGCTGCCGTGGCGAGACGCCGGCCCGCGGGGCGGCGGCCGACGATGCCAGCTGGCGGTGCTGATTGTCAGGGCGACAGAGAATCGCTTGAGGTGTTACTGGAAGTTGTGTATCAAACTCGGCGTAACAGACGCATTGGTGCGCGGTATGCAATCAACTTCTGCAGACTATTGCAGGACTTTAAATCCTCGACGGCCATTGTAAGCTTTCATTTCACAGCAACGAGTCGCACAAAATGGCTGAGACGCGACAGCTGGCTTTGCCCGAGCCAAACGCCAAAACAGCACCAGGGTCATTTTGCAACTAAACTCTACCCGTGTCCTCTGAAGAACCGCTTAGACTGTAGGATCATCCTCGGAAGAATGAGTGTCGGGCAGCTTCGGATCTCCCCGGAGGTCCGCGAGTGAGGCCTGATTTGGGGAGAGAGGGGATCCGGACCGGGGACAAGGGATGCGGCCCGTCTGCGCTACAGTCAGCTCGTCGAACACTATAACATCCAAAGTTCCCCACGTGGTGATCGGCTGAGGGGTGCACTGGCCACGGCCGTGTCAAAACTTTGGCGTCTCTCTGCAGTATGAGTACCGCGGCCGGAGCTTAGTAAGTGGCGGCAAGGCGGCACGGACCGTGTGCGGAGCTTGCCCTGCCGCTTGGTACCGGGTTAACCCCACTCCCGAAGCGAAACTGACGGGGCGGGACTCAGGGCCGACCAGCGCTGCCACTGGTGCCGGGCTCCCGCCCCGACACTCCCCCAGCCCCAGCCGACACCCAACACTCATCCGGCCTCAGCCGAACGGCCCGACACTCCCCCCACCCAAGCAGAGCACCCGGACACTCACAGTGCTCCAGCCGAACGGCCCGACACTCCCCCCACCCAAGCAGAGCACCCGGACACTCACAGTGCTCCAGCCGAACGTCCCGACACTCCCCCCACCCAAGCAGAGCACCCGGACACTCACCCCGCCCCCGCTAACATCCAACGCTCACCTCACCCCAACCGACAGCTGGCATTCACCTCGCCCCCGCCAAGCACTCCGGCACTAACCTGACCCAAACGAGCGCGCCGACCTCAACCCGCCGCAGCCGAGGGCTCCGACACTCACCCCGCTCCAGCCGAACGGACCGACACTCACCCCGCCCCAGTCGAGCGGACCGGCACTCACCCCGCCCCAGTCGAGCGGACCGACACTCACCCCGCTCCAGCCGAACAGATCGACACTCACCCCGCCCCAGTCCAGCGGACCGGCACTCACCCCGCCCCAGCCGAGCGCGCGCGCCAAGTCGTTGCCTGTGCCGAGCGGCAGGACCGCGATAGCGGGCGGCGGGCTGAAGTTCATCTGGTCCAGCACGGAGAGCACCCAGCCGACCGTGCCGTCGCCACCACACGCCAGCACGCGAAGGTTCGGCACCTTGCGGTACATCTCCAGCCTGCGGCGAACAGACGCACACCTTCAGGATACGAGCGCGCTGTGGTGCTGTGGTGCTGTGGTGCTGTGGTGCTGTGGTGATGCGCTGTGCTGATCCCCAGACCGGGGCGTGGCGCGGTACATTTCAGGATACGAGCGCGCTGTGGTGCTGTGGTGCTGTGGTGCTGTGGTGATGCGCTGTGCTGATCCCCAGACCGGGGCGTGGCGCGGTACATTTCAGGATACGAGCGCGCTGTGGTGCTGTGGTGCTGTGGTGCTGTGGTGATGCGCTGTGCTGATCCCCAGACCGGGGCGTGGCGCGGTACATTTCAGGATACGAGCGCGCTGTGGTGCTGTGGTGCTGTGGTGCTGTGGTGATGCGCTGTGCTGATCCCCAGACCGGGGCGTGGCGCGGTACATTTCCACATTGGGGCAGGCAGGGCAAGACACGTTCGGACAGCGGTCACTGTGTGGTGCATCCTCATACCAGGGCCACAAAGCAGAACATTTTCGGATAGGCGGCTCGTGGTGATGCATTCCCAAGCTGAACGGGCAGCAGCCTGCGCTGGAGATGACACCAAGCGACATGACTGAAAACAGTGCATGTGGCACATCTTCAGGACAGTACAGGTTCAGAAAAAGGCAATAAGGACGAAACGTAGGTACATTGTAATCTCTGGAAACAGGATCAAAAAGTACCCGTCGTTTACCTAAGGTCTTGTCTACTCGCGATTTGTCCAGGACAACAGGACCACGCATGAGCCCACTCGTTGGCTTGCCTCAGCCTTCATGCATCACCTATCGGGGATTTAGCCAGGGTTTTCCTTAGGGGGGGGGGGGGGGGGGCGAAGCTCGGTGAGCACGCATCTCATTGATTGCCGACCTGTCAGGAAAATGTGTACTAAAAATACACTATAGGCAGAAGAGAAATGGCCCTCTGGACTGCGCCCCTGCTACACAGTCATTAAGAAGGATTCAGCCCTTTTGATTTCATCCATTTCTGGCTGAACGTCCACGCTGAATAGTGATTATTGCGTGAGCCTTACCCCCCACCACCTCATTACGACACTTCAGGTCGACGGTACAATTTTGCGGCGGATGATTGGCGTACCGTAGTGCTCGGCACAGTCTGTCCTCCTCCTCGTCCCCTTATGCCACGTTACCTTTCGCACGGCCGCTGCCACCGGCCGTAGGCAATCTCAACTAGAGCCGAGCAGCGAGCGCCTAAAGCGACTCGAACCCAGCCCGGCACGGGCTGATAATTACAAGGGCATGCGCTCTAACCAACTGGGGTACCGGAACGAACAGCCTGACATGCTATGTTGCGTTTCATCCAAGACGCTCGTCCCGATGTAAAACACACACACACGCACGCACGCACGCACGCACGCACGCACGCACGCACGCACGCACGCACGCACGCACGCACGCACGCACGCACACAAACACACACACACAAGAAGCATACCACTCACGCTTCCCCGACATGTTTTCTTTAGCAACAGCCAAGATAACGCAAGAGAGCGACGCAAACACCACACAACTACGACATTAGCGGTAGAGTCACGTATGCCATTTGAAAGTTCAACGCCAGATAGTGGGACCACGCGAGAGCCACACGTGGTGGCAAATAACCGTGTGAAGAAATGAGCCATAAAATAGTCCTGACTTTGTCAGCTGAAAAGAACTATTGCACGCTGGGGACGTCACCGCTCATGCCGTCGATAGGCAGCGTAAGCAGCATTACACAATTCAACCATGTCGGAAAATTGCACCTCTTTTATATATTGCGAGGATGCCAATATATGTCAGTTATGTACGAAGCTTACAGAAAGCAACGACTACGCATAATGCACAAAATCCTAAAAGTTATATATATATATATTTTGGGTTCTACCAAATTCGATATATTCAATTCCATTTTTATACTCAATGCCGTCATTCCAAAAATCCTACCGCTTTTTTGTCGTGAGGATACTGATATGTATCACTTATTTGCGAAAGTGCCATGAAAGCGGCAGCTGCATAACACGAGTTTGTTAAAATTGCATGTCATTTGCCATTCATGGTCTGGCTTTTGCAGGCGTTAATATGAACACCGTGGCTAATCGGTAACCCAAGAACAATATCTTAATGACTTTAGGTTCGACAAATTTGGTAACAGAGCACAAATTCACTTGAATCCTTTAGTGATAACCAAAGCATGCCTTGAACAACATTGACTGAGAGTCAATTGGCGGCCACTATATCTGGAAATCGTGCCCACGAACGCCAGATATGACTCGACAATGATGTGTTGTTCGGCCTTGATTGCCGAGTGGCCAGTGGAATGGCAGGATTTGGATGACGTTATTATGACATCATGGATGCCTGGGTGAGCTCGAAATAGTCTGGGCATCTTCGCGGGCGTATGGCTCAAAAACTGGAGGAGTTTAGGTCATACAAAGGGTAGGGCTGTGAACTGCACCAGCTGATCTTAAAGATGGCCATTTCAGTTCAAAGCCCCATACCAATGTGGAAAACTCCCTTCAACAAAACACCTACTCAAGCTTCCTGATGCACTTCACTACATGACCCAGTCAAAATACATGACGCAAAAAGCGATTACCGTACCTTTCAATGAGCAATGTTCTTACTGCTCCCTCCTCCAGATCAAGGGGGAGAGAGACAGCGACTTAAGCCGAATACCACCGTCCGAACAGGACGCTACATCCCGCGGCTGTGGCACAATCGCGTCTGACTGGGACGAAACCCACGCCGGCCTCTAGACGGGATCGCGAGGGCGTGCCGCCCACGTCCGTCATCACGTGACCGTCTGCCGGCACGGCGGCTGTGACTGCGCAGCTCGCCAGCAGCGGGCACTGGAGCGGCCGCTGCCGTCCGCGACACCACCGGAGCGGCGCCGGCCGATGCCGCCGCACGGCAGCGCCGGCGCTCCGCGGCCGATCCGGGGCCGACCATCGGCCGCGGTCGGCGGACGACGCCGGCGGCCACAGAAAGCAGGCAGGTCAGCTCCCGACGGCCGCTGGATCGTCGGAGCCCCATTCACCCCAGAGGGCCCATGAGGCCGACGAGTTCCTGGATACCAGGGCAAAAACATCCTGATAGGGCCGCAGGGAAATTGTGTTCCTGAGGAGCGAGCGTATACGGTAAACAAGGCGATGCAGCTTACTTGCTCACTCACATTATTCTTGATGGTGTCATTAGTTGTTATGCCGAGATGCACACAGCCAAAACCTTTAAAGACCTGAAAAGGTGCCTTTCAATCTGAATAAGTGTCATTCATTTCACAACCGTTGAGACCCTAATGACCACAAGTTGGAAGTGCTGCTCGCATTTACACCCCTTTTGGGAATGAATACTGCAATCGCCGAAGTGGTCCTCTGATGTGATGCCTCCCTGGGTGAATGAGTGCTTCAGCGATACTGGTGCGATAACTCAGGGAGCAGGAAACGTCGCGGGCCGGGCGAGTCGCACCTCGGGTGGCGGCCGTTCTAAGAAAGGGCCTTACCCCGACAGTGCGTCGAGTCGTCTGCGCAGGCGCCGGCCCTACGTGCCGAGTCCATTTCATTTGCAGTGGGCCCGGCCGGTCGTGCGGCCGCCGGCCGGGCGTGCAAACGGTAACGAGCGGCCGCCTCTGCCTAATTCATGACCCAGCCGAGCCGGCGCACCCGGATCTGGCGCCGGCCGAGGCCGGTCAGGGACGGCTGGGACGGCCCGCTCCGGCGTCAGGTCGATCGCGGCTCGCGGCTCGCGGCGCGGCGCGGCCAGGTCGCGCGCGTCGACGCGAGCCGGGTCACCCGGACGGCCGTGCCGGCGCCGGACGCCAGGGCAGGGCGAGGCACTCCGGCGGGATTTGCGTCACCACTGCTGTCCACTGTAAGCCGGTGGAGTCCGCGAGCGATGCCCTGTAGTCGCCGTGGACGGGCCGAGCACCCGCAGGACGCTCGCGCCGCTCGGTCTTGCTTTCTCCGGCCAATACCGACGGGCCAAACGGCAAAGCTCAAAAGCAGTACAAGTGTAGAATCATTGTCCAAGCAATGGCGCCCCGTTCGCCACCTAAGCGTGGCACCGTCAACAATGGTGCATCGGGCGATCGCTGTTTACATTCACACGCGAAGAACTGCTCGGCGCGATGTGCCAATCGCTGTGAGTGTCGCACGGAACGTCAATTTGGAAAATACCTAATTTTCGAAACGTCCCGGGGAAGATACAATTGCCGCCGTGGGGCCCCAGGGGCAGTCGAGTCACAAATGGGACGTCACGGACGAGGACGCGGGACACCATCCCGGCACTGCTCGCAAGCGCCCAGCCAAAAGGCGAGACAATCATCCGGAGGCGACAGCTGGCTGCTCCACGGTGACGCAGCCGCGTGGCGATCGCGCTCCGCGTCGCAGTGCCGCGCGTTCACCGGTTTGCTGGTGCCGGCTGCGACGCCCGAGATGCTCCGCTCAGCAGCGACAATCAGCCAGCTAAGGTGTTCTGATCCCGGCCGGCACGTGCGGCGCCCACGCTCGGCCGGCTGCCTCCCGCCGGCACGCACCGCCGTCAAGCAACTGATTGGACACACGATCCCGTTCGACGGGCCGGATTAGCCGGTCGCGTCGCGCGTCCGGTCGCGCGGCACGCCCGTAAGGATCGGGCGCGGAGGACAGGCGGCGGCAGTGTACACGAGCGGAGTGCCCCTCCGCCTCCCACGGCACCGGCGCGCCCGGGGGTCGGCGGTGCTCCCGTGCTCCGCTGCTCACCCAGCCTGAACTCCGTCGCTGATAGTCCGTAACGGCGAAATAGGATTACATCGATTTCGAATTTTTGGTACACGCACTGCTTGCTAGGATCTATTATGAAGTTTTTCAAGAGCGGGCCATCGCATCTTTACCACTAGGTTTTAACAAGCGCTCATGAAGCATAAGGTGCATGCATCACCTTGTTTTTATACTGCCGTTTGGAGTTGGCAGTGAAAAATCGCTACAAGAGAGTCGCAGAAACGTGTCTACACGTGGGCTTGTTCATGACGCATTAAACCATGCAAAATATCGCGTGAGCCAGCGGTGTTCGGAGCGGTGGAAACATGTTATGGAAAAGACGGCCTGCTACGAAAAGCGGCCTACATGTCCCAAAGTGGCCATATAGGCCGCTGACAGCGGCGGAAGGGTTTCTGAAGCGTCGGCCTGAGGGGTGTACACAGCAAAGGACGTTTTGTCACCGCATTGGACCACAGCAACCAACGTTCATAATAGTCGTACCTATGGCCATAAATCGTCTAACCAAAGCTAATGGATGTTGTGTTGCATGCGAAAGGCTACAGCTCGTGTCACTAGCGGACAAGAAATCGCCCAATGCAAAAACAGGCGGCTGCATCCCCGGAGCCAATTACGCTAGATAATGACGCCAGCCCATCAGCACCACTCGACTCCGATCCGCTGACCACTGCTGGCTGGCCAAAGACGACGTTTCCGCTGACCTACCCACCGACCAATGAGGCCAGTTATCGATATTGTTGCCGACCATCACCGTTGCTCAATTATCAAGCCGGTGCAAACGCACACTGTCAAACGTCCCGGCTTAATGGCGTTGAACACGAATGAAGACGTCGAGACATAGCAAAAAGCAGCCGAAGGCAGCCACAGCTTACTTTCACAGGTGTGTTGGGATAGCCGACACAGGTTAGCTCCTTTTGTGCTATATGAGCAAATGTCCTAAAAACATACATTTTCCACCAATGACAATTTTATTAAGAACTGCTTAGCTTTCTTTCATCCATAGGCCAGCAATGTCACTGGGACTTAACGAAGCACTCAGCCGCTGATGCTCTATGCGTCCCCTGCCTCTCACTAGGCAGGACGGGCAAAACAGAACCTCTTACCTCTGGCTTCCCATACCCGCGGCTTAACCACCATACTACCAGTACCTATCCGGAGACGGCCCTGCCCAACAGTGGTAGTCCCTTAAAGGCTGTTCTTTCCCTGGGATGGCACTAAAGCTTCTAGACAGCGTCAGTTCGCCAGCAGTCCCTGAAAGAGCTAGGGACTCTGCGTATTCACGAGCCCATCCGGGACGTCTTTTCATTCAACCAAAACACCGGGATACTTACTTTGCGTTTCAGATTCCCACCCAGACAACCGTCTATTGTCAGTAAGGAGAGCCTATTGGTCACCTTTCAGGCCAATCTGCAGCACTAGCTTCTTCACTTGTGGCAAAACCTGCTCGTTTCACTAGGCTCGCTTCAGTCTGCAGTCCAACATGACTGCCACATTCCGCCGTGCTATCAACTCAGCGAGCCCCTCGTCGTGCGGCACACCCCACCTAGCCCCCTTGTGGTGCGGCACACCCCACTGAGCCCCCTTGCGGTGCGGCACACCCCACTGAGCCCCCTTATGGTGCGGCACACCCCACTGAGCCCCTCGTGGTGCAGCACACGCCACTGAGCCCTCTCGTGGTGCGGCACACCCCACTGAGCCCCCTTGTGGTGCGGCATACCCCACTGAGCCCCCTTATGGTGCGGCACACCCCACTGAGCAGCGTGCCACACCACCAGCAGATATCTGAGGCTTACAGCTTTCGGTAGTTCAAATTTAACATTTCTCACTTTATTTTCCATCAATTTCTTGGCAAGCGGGCACCCCAGGCAATTTCTAACGGTATTCATGAGCTTTCAAAACCCACTACCGAAAGCGCAGACAGAGCTGAAGCAGAGGGATGAAAGCAGCATATCGCTTACAGGTCATTGCAACTGCCATGACCCACCGGAAGCTCACTTCTGCGTTTCAGCATTACGGAAAGGAGGAGCCTCGCGGTGACGTCATTACGGCCCAGCTCCCCGGAACGCAACAAATGGATACAAACCCCGACCATCATTGTAGCGTCCGTTGTGGGCAATGGCTGGCGGTAATTGCGAACTTCTTAAGATTGCTTGAAAGACAATTAAATTTCGGTGTGCACGCAGACGTTTTTATGAGCATTACAGTGCGACGGTTAGCATAAATCTTAAAAGTTTCCTAGCGTCTATATCTTAGCGGCACGACTTTGGTGGCTTATTTTTGGTTAGAAACGCTTTGCAGATCATTAAAATAAGGTTTTTAAATAACTAAATGTTAAAAAATTGCGGTCTGTGGGTACACAAAAGAGCATGCTTATACGAGTAGGCATCATGCCAGACCTACTCCTACCACAACTTGCCGATTTGTTTACACTATTGTAGTGTATGGCAGTTGTTTAGAGCGCCTACGCGCCAGGCACTTGCAGTTGCGCGAGAGAGTTGGCCTTGGGTGGTGGCGTGTGGAAGGGGCACGAAGTGTTCGGACGCCTCGGACGTTATATTATTGCTATTGTTGTTATTACCGAGGCATTGGGCAAATACTCAAGGTAACACCTGACTTAGTGTTTGGTCGGGCTGTGAAAGCGGACGACACTACAACTATTCCGTGGCATATCTGGAGTAGACGCGACAAAATAAACTTTATATCCTATCAGCCTCCTGTTCATATATATATATATATATATATATATATATATATATATATATATATATATATATATATATATATATATATATATATATATATATATATATATATATATATGTGGTACCTACAGACCTCACATGCCGAAAAATGGTACACTGTAAACGCTCCTTGAATTAAATGATTCTCAAAGTCCGCACTGCTCCACACGACACCAGTGTAAACAATAATGGCCTGGCCAGCATCAAACGCCCTCGACCGATCTCCACCGTTTCCAAGCCTGGTATGATCCTGGACTTTGGGTGAAGTTAAGGCATTGGCTGAAAAAGCGTATGTCTAAAAATGTATGTCATACAAAGTCCTCGTTTCGTGTTATCAACTTACTTGGAGCGAATTTATGCATCGCGAAAACGCTAATATCCTATTCTCAACTATGTTTTGACATTTTTGCCGAAGTTTGTGTACCTCATACGTAATTAGTTCATATGCACGGGGATATTACGGCGTGTGGGCTACCATGGCGTAATTCTTGGAAATAGCTCCGACGCCGGGCAAACTCATGTTTTTGGTTGCCTGACAGCTATTGAATGCGGCGCCGGCTTCCTGCTGGATCGCACGCTTCACTAGCGACGCAGCAGTGCGCGGCCTGAAGATGCTTGGTTCGATGTCCGGCCACCGAGACGACGTTCCAGGTTAGCGTACCAAAATACTCCATGCCTCCGATGGGAGCAAAGCGCTTTCCTCCGTGACGGTGCCGGACTTACCCTTCTCGCGGTCCGCCCTGAGTGAGGTCGAACACTTGACGAGGGTTGAGCAGCCACTGGAACTTCTGCATCAGCTTGGCGCCCTGGTTACCGCCACTCTTGGGGTTGAGGAACACGATGACAGGGTGCACGTTGGCCGTTGGAATGGGCTTGATGGCGAACGCCCGCGTCTGGTCCTTATCGATCTGCGGTAGGAATGCAGTCGCACGCTGTGACATAAAATGGCCTCAGATGTCCGGTGCTCCGACATTACATTGGAGTACGTGACACGGGCTATATCCGGGCTCACGCTTCAAAACCAGACGCATTCGTACGCACGGAGTTGCGCAGCAAGTTCGCTGTTACTTTTGATAGCGAAAAAGCAACAAACATGCAGAGACATCTAAAAAAAATCGTCGACCTGTCAAGGACGAGCGGGCACAAAAGGTAGCTGGCTGGTCCAGGGTAAGCATTTAATACATCCAGTGAAGCGTATGCCTTTCATTTGGGCTAAGGGAGCCCGAGACTAACACAATCACCAGCATCATGGTCGCGAACACCACGCATCGATTGAGTGCGTGGTGGTGGAGCAGAGCTCACGCTCGTGGCGGAGCGTATTACATTGATCACTAATGAGATGACCCTTGTTGCTGATGTGATTACCACCCACCCGCCTGCCATGGTCGGATGACGAGAAAATGACAGCGCTGGCTTCAGCCGACATTAATACCGAGTTTGATGACGCAAATTACTGAGTGCGATCGATGGCGGAGTGTAACACGATGTGGTGTAAGATGATAAGTGCAGCAGACACGGTAGCGTAGTAGCAAGACGTCGAGCTGGAAGAAAGAAGCTAACGTTGATGAAAATGTGCTTATAATTTTGGATAGCATTCGGAGTTACACGCCTCAACATTAGCTCTATTGATGTGGATAGAAAATACGCGTCTTAGGTATTTTATATTTCATGTCATGCCCCAACGCCACGCATTGGTGATGTGGGTGGAGGTTGGAGCATCCTAAAACTTGAAACCAAAAAAGCAAGCCTCTGGCATGTAACAGTCTTGGTTTCTTCATCTTACATGAGCCCCTGACATAATAAGACCAGCCTGCTCCAGCCGTGGCTGCTTCCGCATCCGCCATCTTTACAGCTGATTTTCAAAACAATGGAATTCGCTTCGATACAACGATACTAGCGCATCCCCGCAATGCAAATTTACATCCGTGCGTACACTGGCAGTTCGTCGCACGAAACGGAAAAAATTCATAATTTTGATTGCACCGTATATGTGCATGTGACGGGGACCACTCAAGGGGATCTTTAATCTGATTAGAAAAAATGAGAATGATTAAATACCTGAACAGTTCACAGGCAGCACCTACACTAACAATGGGTCACTGAAAAGAGCGTAAGTCGTAGTTGTATTTTATGAAGTCGGGCTGTCGTCGGTTCTAGATCAGAAGGGGGTGGGCCACCTTTCGTGTACCTTTCGTTTATTAGATCAGACGCGTCCGATTTGATCAGTAATACGGTTTTCTGGAAATTCTTCTGAATAGCTCAAAACTTTGATTTGAGGCAATGCTTTCGGCAGAAGAAATCTGACTGGGCCCCCTACTCATCACCGTGAAAGTAAACTTTTCATTTGCCTTGCTTTTTGCGTGTGCTTTCCGCAATGTTTGCAATGCACTTATTTGCCAAAATATCTTTGTGCTTTAAATGCCACGGAAGCTTGAAAAAGTAATTTGGAAAAACAATATAAACACATGAAGCTATAATCACAACAAACTAGCAAACCGTTACACTATGGCTTTGATTTCCCACTACCGCGTTTAGCGCAGTGGGTCTTTTCGAAGCACACTTTGAATTTGGGAGACAGCAGAGCATCACATGGTTTACAGTGACGCACTGTCCCAAACGTCAACCAATGCGCTTGTCAGTAAGTAGCCCTCGTCACCCACCGAACCATTTGCAAACGTTCATTTGCGCTGACGTCATTCTTACTAGCACAGGTGCCACTTTTAACCGCCTAACCCACAATGTACGGGTTAGAACACCTCAAGGACGGTAACTCTAGCTGCTGAGTTGCTGCAACTGCCGTCGCCATGATGGCGACAGTTGTCATGACGACGGCGGTCGTGACAACTCCAGTTGTCGCGGACCAGACCTTCACTCTGGATCCACCAAGAAAAAAGTGTAGTGCTGTGACTCGACGTTCGGACTTGTCAAGCGTAAGCATGAACGACAGCGTGATTTGGATTCTAAGAATACAAATTAACCTTCCCATTATATCTTGATAGTGCCACAGCGGCACTACCCAGTGTCACCATTATATGTAATTGGTTCTGAGGTTTCACCGGACTATGCTTTTTAAACGCGCCCCAAATGTGGGGCAATCTTTTAAAACTATTCTAAAACCTGGCAATGACCTCATGGCGACAGGTTCCTACCCCACCCGATGTGCGGGCACCAAACTGGCAACGTGGGCTGCACCGACTTGCAACGCCTTCCATGCATGTCAACATTTCCTGATGCTGGCAAAGCGCCGGCGCTATTCGCTCAATTGTCGCTCCGGTGCCACCGACATTCAGTGTCGGCTTGCACCGCACTACTGCATCTCAAGTTCTCACCCATTCCCGGCTTTTCCGACGACTAGAGGACCTCTTCTTGGGCGACTTGCGGAGGCTGGACTTGAAGCTTCCTCTGCGGGGCAGCTTGACGATCCATGACGGCGGCACAATGATGTCCTCGTGAATGCCTGAAACACAGCAGCGAAACACACGTCACGTAACCCCCCACGAGCGAGCGATTTTATTTGCCCAGCGCGGTTGGCTTCCTTTCACGCTTTTCCCCCTGAGCCAGGGTTGCCACTTGCGGCGGGCCGCGCGCGCCCCACCTGCCCTGCCACCGGATCATTTTCCGTTCCTGTTGAAGCACCGCTCGCTGCAGCCCGTCCATCTGGATCTGACGGCAGCCCCAGGGGGCAGCCAGGCGGGCTGAGCCACGTAATCCTCTCAGTCCACTCGCCTCGATTGTTCCCCGGGGACGAAAAAAGTGCGGTCGCTTTAGTAATGGCTTCGGTGGTGCCGTCTCCTTTCACCCGTGGGAGGAGCATCATCCCTGGACTAGGGACGGCGTCATTTCATTCGAAGTCCCAAAGAGAGCTGGTCCATTGACTTAGACAATATATTCCTAGTTCAAAAGACTAACGGTCCAGCGCAAAATCTATTTGGGGCAAATTTCCTAACCGCAATGTGTGCCTGGGCTATTCCTGAATACGCCAGCCATATAAGCTGCAGTTTGGGCATCTAGAGAAACTGCAACGCAACTAGGCAAATCGTACAATCAGGATAACCAACGCACCACCTTTACTGGGATTATACGAGAGAAACGTTTGTGAGCGTGAATGACACAGATACAAGACGCACAGATTACTTGCGCAATTAACATGACTTTGAATTTACCGTTCACTGGTCACACAGACGACCCTTACAAGCAGTGAGTGCAAAACGTCCCAAATATGTGTGTTTCGTGGAGCATGTACGAAGAGACTCGTAACAAATGCTCACTTTCCTGGTATGCAGTCGCATTGCAGCAAAAGCAAACCATCAAATGGCGTGACCAGGACATCTCATGAAAATTCAAAGCTCCCCGCGTGCGCAGCACTACCCCTCAAAACACCACGCAATGCCCAACAGCCGCCTCTGCAAGAGCTGTGCCGCACGGGCCGGCGCCCGAACAAGGGGCGGGGCAGGGGAAGGGGAGCGGCCATTTTGGACGGGCGGCGTGCACCCCACCCCACCAGGCCCCCCCCCCCCCCCTGATGTGTCCAGCACAGGCTTCAGCACACGATCACGTGAACTGTGGACCAACGCCGCCGAAGCCGCCGCGAAAGGGATCTGCACTGGCCCTGGAGATACGGGACATAGCTGACACCCCTGCCCGCCCCCAGTAACTGCAGCAACGTGGACACCCTGCGGGGGGTCAACGGAGCCGGGTTGGGATAATGCCAGAGTAGGGCCATGACTTGGGATTGGCTCCAGCCTGCGATGTCAGAGATTCCAGATAGCATAATGCATAAGTAAGACAGAACGCGGAAGGGAGGGTGCCAGCGAACAGGGTTTTGGCTGAGAAATGGGTCAGATGGAGTCAGTCGTCCATCGACTGTTTCGAGGCCAGTTTCAACCCTTATGCCGTATTCGAAATAATTGGGGGCGTCCGTGCTTATCATCCTATTTCTTTGACGACCGATCCACGACCAACAGCAAATGAGGGGCCGAAATGACAGGGAACAGCAAAAACAAGCTACCCACAGACTAGCCCACAGTAGATATTTACTGTTGCAAGTTCTCCGCGATCACGCCCAATGATGCCCAATATCTGACGCGAAATTTACATGAACTACTACACACCGACCTCACGACAGACCCTTCATCTACTGACATCCACCAGTGGAGGCGGTCACCAACCACAGACCCTTCACATACTGGCAGTTACCAGTGGCGGTGGTCACCAACGACAGACCCTTCACATGCTGACAGCCACCAATGAGAGGTGAGGGCGGTCACCAACGACAAACCCGTCACGTACTGACAGTTACCAGTGGAGGCGGTCACCAACGACAGACCCTTCACATACTGACGGTCACCAGTGGAGGCGGTCACCAACGACAGACCCTTCACATACTGACGGTCACCAGTGGAGGCGGTCACCAACGACCGACCCTTTACGTACTGACAGCCAGCACTGGAGGCGATCACCAACGAAAGACCCTTCACGTACTGACAGCCACCAGTGGAGGCGGTCACCAACGATAGACCCTCTACACACTGATCATTGGAGGCAGCCGGTAACGACAGACCCTCCGCACACTGACCAGTGGAGGCGGCCGATAGCGACAGACCATACATTGACAGTCATCAGTGACGGCGGCGGGCAGCCTTTTCCTTCGAGCACATCCCCATCCCCACGACGCAGGGCGAAACGACACAACTTGCCAGCAACGACCGGCAGCGAGCGGGCAAGTTCGGACCTAATTCGCGCCGCCGGACTTCGCCGGCGCACCGAGCCACCGGCCCCATGACACACTGGAGCCTTCAGCGCACCCCGCCGCGACCGGGCTTCGGCATGAGCCGGTGCTCGCGGGCTGGAGGTGGGCGCAGGAAGGTTGGTGAGCGCCGACGGTCAGACAACCAGAGTTTCAATGCAAGCACTTAGTGGGAGCATTGACACATTTGGACATTTCGTAGCCGTTGGTAAGAGTTCATGGAATGGCAACATACTGTCGATGTCTGGTAACATAGGTACATATGTATATATATATATATATATATATATATATATATATATATATATATATATATATATATATATATTGTATTACTGACCATGTCAGACAGCGTAATGTTCTTGTTTGCTCACATATGTTCACGCAAACATAGGCACTCGGCAGCTGCCCATTGTTGCCCAAATGGCAGCCACAAATTTCAAGCCCGCTCCAGAGCACATGGGCAGTCGGGGGTACATTTTCCTTGCTTACGACGCGCATAGGCAGGCTGGTAGTGTACCAGATTGACAGGCAAAGCTGGCAGATGCCTTCGAACATCACGTCACGTCATGCCACTCACCTAGACTACATTGTTCCTCTAATCGCTGGATGTTTGAAGCAGGGCTCCTTGTTGTGGTAGGCAGTCCGGCACCACGAACAACTTATTGCTACAATTTCTTTGGTAGAAAACGAAAGTTTCGACATAAAGCTCTGCAAAAGAAGGCAGCACACAAAAGTTACATCCCGGTAGAGGGTGATGGTAGAGTAGCAGAGTCGCACACATCGGTAAACAAGCAAAACTACGCGCCGCAGTGGCATTGTATGGAGCTTCTCGCAGCGGGGGGAAGGTTGTCGCCGTTGCTCGAAACCCAAACCTTTCAAAATGTCAAACAGAGAACACACAAACTCACGCTGACGAATGAATTTTAAGAACCCGCGGGGAGCCAGTGCTATGGCTGTGGTGTGAGCGTTGTTCAGCGAGGAGGAAACGACGTCCAAACATAGCCTGACGCTCAGCACGTCAACAGGACTTTAGCGCGAGGGTGGCGGGCCACGCTGCTCCAACTGGTCCGACAACACCAGCACCGACGTCAAAGGAACGAGGCGCACGGGCCCACGCCACCACTGTTCCGGCGCGTGCATGCGAGGATCTCGTAGCCGTCGGCGACAAACGCGCGGATGTCACGCAAGGTCGTAACGATCGCCGGCGACAATCGGGCCCGGACGGCTGCACGCCGCGCCCTCCGTCACGGAGGCAGCCGCCCCCGCCTCACGCTCGTCGCAGGCGGCGGCCCGCCCGCCCTGTGATCAGTCACCGCACGGCTGATGGGCGGCCGCAGGCGATACGCTGTTGCAGGAGCGGCGACAAAGCCGGCGGCCGTGAGCCTGACCGGGCAGATTGTCATCTGCCAGCGATGACGAGCCTGAGTCACCTGAGAAGCAGGCTCAGCGCGTCACCGTGTTTGGCTAACTTGGGCATTCTCCGCATTGCGATTTTGCAGTTCGGTCCTCCGCCATACGGGAATGCGATATTTCGAGGCGACGGACTGTCTCAAAACTGTCGGCTTTTCCAAAGCCCCGAAGCGAATCATTTCACCAGCATTTTCCTCCGGCTGTCATCTGAAGCAGGACCTTGATTAAGGCTCGGCCTGACTGCTCAGCTGAGCTCAACCAGAGCTCGAGTGGAATCGGCGCCGGACGGGAAATCGACCGGCAGCGCGCCTCTGGCTCGCCCTGCTTCAGCCGCGACCCGTGGACCGTAAGCCCGCAGCAACAGCCTGGCGGAGCTGGCGCTCTAAGCGAAAGAAAAAAAGATCAAATGCTGATTTGTTTCGGTTTGCCGTATAGAAAGTAACGATCAGTTAACATGCAATCAGCTGTCACAAATTCATCTTATTGATTGACACAGCAGGCTGGCTGGCAAAGGAACGCCAGGAAGGAATTCTCGTAACTATCCGCCCATAAATCTTTGACTCCTTACGAGTGTCAAAGAATCCGGCTGCGCCAAGTGCGTTTGACCGGCCGCGCCCTGCGATTGGTGCGGCCGGCGCCGGGCGGAGGCTGCTCGGTGCCGCCGCCGGCGCAGGGGACGCCGCCGATGTAGGGGACGCCGCCGCGTCAGGTGCGAGTGCCGGGGACGGCGTCATCACTCAGTTGAAGCGATGGCGACCGGCGAGGCGACGGACAGGCGCCGGCCGCCGCGGCCCGGCCATGGGGAGCAGGCGGACTTTCCCAGCGCCCCGCCGCGGCCATATTTCAGCGGCCGCACTGGCCGGCCGGCGCCGCCGGTTGCCACAGGTGAAATGGTCCGGACGCGGCGCAGATGGGCCGCCCTGAGCCGGCACCGCCGCCGAAGCTCCGCTCCCAGAGGCTGAACGCGAATGGCTCGACGGAGGGGCGGGAGGCGACAGGGGACGGAGAAACGGATGGCTGGGAGCGAGGGGGAGGTCATCTCTCCCGTGTCATCACTCCATCCATCATGACCAGTGATGGATGTAATAGAAACGGGCGCTTTGGATGGATGATACGCGTGGAGTAGGATAAACTGAGGCTTGAATGAGGCAAAAGAATGCAGTTCAAAACCGGGAGAATGGACGAGCTCAGATTACGAAGACCCATCGATCGGCGATGGAGCTGAGCAGCAGGGTCAGGGTCTGAGCTCCTGCACACAGCTGAGGGAGGGAGCACCAATGCCGGAGCCACGTACGCACCACCCAGTTTCGGAACACCACAACCTCAGACGCCACGCCGGACAGGGGAACAAAGCGCCCACAATATTCTAACGTTGTTTTACGCGGGCACAGGGTGACGTGTCGGTGTGCCTCAGACGCAGCGCGGAATAAATACAGAATATCAGTCAGTTCCAAACAGAACTCGAAGAAAACAATCGCAGCGCAAGTCCCACCGACTGCATCGATTGATAAACCACACATGAACCCTAATTCGCGAGCACGGATGCTCTACTAACGCACCACTTCGACCCCCGCATACACGCGGGTCTCGTGACCCCCGTATGACATACGAGCTTTTATTGTGCATTATCAGCATAAAGGGCGACGGCTTCCAGTGGCACGTGCAGACTGATGGACCAACCTCAGACCCGAAAGCTCCCAGCCCTGATATCAGCGTACCGACGGGACGAGCACGGGATCCACAGACCGCGAATAAAACAAACAGCCGATATGGAGACGGACGACCGGCCTGACTCAGCCACTGACCTTTCCACAGTGTTTACATTTGCCCTTCTGATTCCGGCGATGCACCCAGTGGTGAGCTGTGGCCGTGTTGTCCCGGTACTGCCGGATCCCCACGTCCCTGCAACAGACCGGACACGTGGTGAGCCTCCGCTGCCGCCACTGGCACGCGGCCCTGCCGCCCAGGCCATGCCAGACACGTGGCGCGAGCTGTCCGATCGCGAGCCACGTGGTGACCCTCCGTGCCCCACGCCAGACGAGCGGTAGGCCGCGCGGCGTCTGTACTGACGTGTGGTGAGTCGGCCCCCGGTGCGGACTCGGGGCCGGCTGTCCGGCCCTGTCCGTCAGCCGCGTGGTTAGTTGTCCGGGACAGGGCACGGAGACGTGACGTCGGGGCGGATTCGGGGCCGGCTGCCCGGCCCTGTCCGTCGGCCGCGTGGTTAGTTGTCCGGGACAGGGCACGGAGACGTGACGTCGGGGCTGCGGCCTGCGCGCTCCCGTCTCCGGCGGGCCGTGACACAGTCAGTTACCAAATACCATTGCATGTCGTTTCTACACGTTGTCATGTCTACGTCATGTTTGTTTAGAGTAAGGATTAATCATATCCAACAGATTGGGATGGGAATCCACTCGGGTTCTGGGGACTGAACCAGAGGAGGAAACTGATCTTAACTCGTGCTTTGGCACTGATCATGAGAATAAAGTACTTTTCACGACCAAAAGTTGTGGAAACACATCACGGCAAAGCCGCGGGCACGTCCCAACTCCGCCGCGCCAGTTCCGCCAATGTAGCAACAGATGGCAGCACACGATAATCGCTTGCTTCACAAGAGGGAAGGTCAAACACGACCAACAGATGGCAGCACGGGAATGTCAAGCAATTCACTGTTCGCACAGAGGGCGCTGGTGCTGCGACTGCTCGCGAGACGACCTCTGCCCAGCATCCACATCGCCCACGTGCCACTGTTGTCGGGATTCCCCATTGGCTCCCCTCCCCTCTCCTCCCACAGCCGATCACTGCCACGCGCCTTAAACGCCTCCCGTTACAGACTATGTGAACGGACAGCTGCCCGGACATCCGCCCCGGTGCCGTCCGCAGAAACTACTCCAGAAACTATCGCGACGCATCTCGCCCGATCGATACGCTGGCACAAGGTGTTCGGTGTGGCCGGCGGCCGTCAGTGACGGACTTCCGAATGAAATGCAACACGCGGTGCGCCGGAGCCGTCTCTGAACGGCATCGGTTCCCACCGAAAGTTGGCCAGCGAGTTGTTGGCCATGTTGGCCATGTTGGCCAGCGAGGTCAGCCGCACGCTTAGCCTTCGGGGCGGCGGCGGAGCGGCGTTTCCGATGACCCGTGACGGTCAGAGTGTAGTGAGCAAACACAGCAGCCGACGCTATGAAATCATCCGCCTACAGCCCGGCACTGGACCTGACTATACTGGACACCTCGGTCGCCAGTGCCCAGCGACTGCAGACCAACCAACCGACCGCCGGAAGACCGCCGTCCCGGTTTGCCAGTCCCGAGCGCCGTCTCTGATGAGCTTCGGCTCCTCTCGCGCCGCTCACTGCACCAGCTGCCGCCGAGCCGGAGGTCCTCCGGTCCCAGCACCGGCGGGGGTCGCTCTGGGTCCCGGGGGTGTCATCCGCTGTCACGGAGTTGCGCGCCATCCCCCCCCCCCTCCCCACCCAGGCTGCACGAGCGTGGGCGCCAGCAGACGGCGGCGGTCCGCTGTCGACCGGCACCGCCCACTGCACGGCCATCACTCACGACAAACAGCGTGCGGCCTGCACCATCAGCTGCACGCGCAGACCACCGCCGCCGATCGCCGCTCACAGCACGCGGCCTGCACCATACTGCCGCTGGCCGCCGACAGCATGCAGGCTGCACCGCCTACTGCACACGGCGGGCAGACACCACCGCTCACTGCACACCGCGTGCGGCCTGCACTATCTGCGCTACAGAGTTGCGCGCGTTGAGCCTGTTTTAGAGAGTTGGTCCAAGCCTTGTGACGGGACGACTTTCTGTGGTATGCCTCCACACTAGATCGTGATTGCTGCGCGAGCCCTGACCCCAACGTCTGGACATTCAAATCGGGTTAGCGGCTTAATTTTAGCAGCCAAAGCGTTACGTGCCGCAATACTCCGCACGGTGCGTCCTGCCCTTCGTCAGCTGAACTTTAGCGCGGCTGCATCATCCGGCCGAAGGCCATCTTATTTCTGTTTAAATAGCGAACGCCCTGGAGCGAGTCGAACCCAGCCGTCACACGTAGTGAATCGGCAGGCAGACGCTTTAACCAGCTGGGTATCGAGAAGAGCCCCCCCCCCCCCCCACGCACACACACACCAATCGAGAGGCAGACGCTCTAACCAGCTGGGCTATCGGGACGAACCCCCTACCCCAGTCCCCCCCCCACCCCCCACCCCCCTCCCCCCCAACCCCGCTCAACAATCGAGAGGCAGACGCTCTAACCAGCTGGGTTATCAAGACGACCCCCCCCCCCCACCCCCACCCCCGCATACCAATAGGGAGGCAGACGCTCTAACCAGCTGGGCTATCGGGACGAACCCCCTACCCCAGTCCCCCCCCCCACCCCCCACCCCCTCCCCCCCCCCCAACCCCGCTCAACAATCGAGAGGCAGACGCTCTAACCAGCTGGGTTATCAAGACGACCCCAACCACCCCCACCCCCGCATACCAATAGGGAGGCAGACGCTCTAACCAGCTGGGCTATCGGGGCGAGCCTCCCCCTCCTGCCTACCAATCACCAGTACAATATGGAGACAGCCGGAGTACACAAACGGCGTCATCCACAACTAACAGCATAAGTGACGTTCGACAGTCTGTGTGGCGATGGGTATTAGCAGCGCCAGGCGGTCCATCAATTAAGATTAACGAGCATACTACACGCAACGCACACCGGGGAAGAGCCGCCACCTTCCCGCGTACGTCTGGCGCTGTACGCCGCTGTCATTTGCTGCCCCCGGGCGCCTCCCCGCCACCTTCCCGCGTACGTCTGGTGCTCTACGTCGCTGTCATTTACTGCCCCCGGGCGCCTCCCCGCCACCTTCCCGCGTACGTCTGGCGCTGTACGTCGCTGTCATTTGCTGCCCCCGGGCGCCTCCCAGAGCGAGCGTCACTGCCCGGCGGCTGGGCCCACCGCCGACTCCACACCGCCGCACGCCGCTGCAGTCGCAAACATGGCCGAAAACATTCCGGGATTCACCGCTGACGCAGGCAGCATCCATAACACGGCGGCAAACACCGCGGACGAGCCAGCCACGATATGGGAGGGGGGGGGGGGGGGGGAGCGGCGGCGAGTGCCGGGGGTTCGGCGCCAGCGGTAAGCTTGGTCGGCACAGCCGCCGCCGCCCACAGCCGCCCCCGACCGGCGTTCGCCGTGCAGCAGCACGCACACTTTGAAGAGTTGCAAGTGCTGTGCGCACGCATTTTAAAGGTGCGGGACGTGGGTGTCACTTCATTACTTTGCAAGGGGAGGGTACACCCTCTGAAGTTCACTTGAGCCCCCAATACTCCTTTGAGCCCCCTCAATGCACATGATCAAGAACATAGTACTAGGCGAAAGAAATGCAGACAAACTATCTTAACTATCAGCACACTCAGTACCTAAACATATCATTAATAGTGTCGTCGACTGCAAGGTATGGCAGCTATAAAAGGGAGTACAGGGTAACCAAGATAAAAGGTAACTCGTGTTACCCTCAGCAGTGGCAGGCGCATTTACCGCCAAATTAAGATCAGCGACGGCGGCAGTCATCTGGGATTCCATAGCCGTTAAATATTGACGGTACGATGTGCTCCAGATGGCTCCTAGGCGGTCCGGAATGCGCAACAACAGAACCTACTAAAAGAAGTTGTTTGTCCGGTCGATGGTCCACGGTGAGGCGCCTCATTTTTGGAGTGAATATATATATATATATATATATGTATATATATATGTGTATATATATATGTATATATATGTATATATATATATATATATATATATATATATATATATATATACTATCAATGAGGATCAGCGAGCACACTACACGTCTTGTTCGTACTTGTTCTTTTTCTGTGGCCAACGTTGTTCACTCAGCCCCCTCCCCAAAGCCCCCTCCCCAAATTTTAGAAAAGGATACCCCTGTTACGGCGCAGAGGTGCAATCAGGTACAGAGGTACAATCAGGTACAGACAATATATGGCGAGGTACATGTACAGTATAGAACAGTCACGGCTAACCGACAGCGCACCGCTGCTGCCATGATGAATAAGGAGCATTTACGCGATAAGAACAGGACACAATAAGATCCCCGTTATGGTTGACGAGCACTGTTGGGTGCTCCTCGGACTCCAATCTGTACAGTGCTCGCACCGACGGAGCCCTGAACGTTCAGCGGGTGAGGTGTATCCGCGCTCGTACTTGTTCTGTCTCGATGGCCAACACACACCGGACGGCCAACTCGTTCACTTTCCGACGCCCACGAGAACCCGGCAACTCCAAAGCGCGGGTGGGTATCTGAGCATTCCGCGCGCACACAAACAGGTGAGGCACTTCTGCGTGAAATGGTGGCCGACGCCTCGCTACGCCTGCGGATAGGGTCAAACGAGCTGCCTTCGACCCTCCAGCAGTAACGAGAGACTGCGCCAGCTCGCGCACTGAGCTCGCAGCATATTGCCACGCATTCCCACCCATCAGCAACATTAATTTCATACATTTGGGCGTGGCGTTCGTTAAGATGTCAGATGTTTAACATTAGATTGGGCTTCGTGCTGCAAAGCACATTATTTAACGTCCGCCCGCCCATCAAAAAGTCCACGGTCGCCGGCTGCCATTGATCAAGCGGGTTAATCACCAAATTAGTGTGCCAGTGGCCACGATTACGTGAGGCGAAACGTGCCGGCTGCACGACAGGAGTTCGCACCAGACCATCCATGTGAACAGATTGGCAACGTTGACCGCAGTGCGGTCACTGTCACCGAGTCCAACAGATGGCCTCTAGGGCGTGTCGATACAGAAGGGGCGACCTACTTATGGGTGGCACGCGCATGCAAGCCTACAAATCATCTTATCCACAAAAACTAAAACACCACGCTTGTTTTAGAAGAAGACAATTTCCCTTATACAGCTATATATATATATATATATATATATATATATATATATATATATATATATATATATATATATATGCGTTTGGGTGTGCATTTTTGTGTGAATAGCATTACCACACCCAACATTCCCAGCACATTTGTTAAACAGATTTTCGGACACACGTCTTTGTGAAGTCACGCAGGCAGCAGTAGCATCCCCAACAGCAAAAGGTGACGCCACCATTCGCTAAACCTTTGTCACGAACATATGCATCGCTCGATCAGCAAACACGTTTATTGTCTGACAGGCCGGCAACGCACGCACCAGGGAACTTTCAAGGTAGGTGAATAAAACAAGAAGCCGAATAATCGACGACTTTTCCACTTCAGTAAAGTCCGCGAACTCCATCGAGAAGTTCAACCGAGCGTCCCAAACTTACGCCCGTCGCGGTGATTACCTACAGGAGGAGCTTTGCGTAAACCTCCACTGGATGTACACATACGTGTACACCATGAATACAGAGCACAGCGCACTTGGCATGAGGTGGAGCCCAACGTCCAACAATACGCTCATACGCATAATTTTCATGCAGGCATGGCATAGCTACCACCTACGTTCATACAAATTTCACGCAATAGGGGACGAAAAAAATTATTGATGCAACATTGGTCAGACAGAACGAGCTTCTTTCAGGAACGCTTAGATGAAAAATGCGAGGACGAAAAAACAGCCATGCATAAAAACAGGTGATTATTCCACGCCTTGAGGGGAGCGAAGACCACAGGGCTGAAGAGACCGCCTGCCTGAGAGGCCGGCATAGGACGAAGCACAGAACCGCCGCCTCTCACCTGAACGTGGGCTTGCAGGCGAACTTCACCTTGTCGATCAGGTTAGCTATGCACCCTGTGTGGCAGATGATCTTGCAGGCGGTGCACTTCATCCGGGAGCCAGTCCTCTGCAACGGCAGCAGGGCGGACATCAGACTCTACCCACGCCAGGAGAGTGCCTCCGCCCCCTCTGCCGGCAGACTGCACCCCCGCGGCAGGGTGCTCCTTCGGCCGGCAGACTGCACCCCCGCGGCAGGGTGCTCCTTCGGCCGGCAGACTGCACCCCCGCGGCAGGGTGCTCCTTCGGCCGGCAGACTGCATCCCCGCAGCAGTGTCTGTCGGCCGGCAGACTGCACCCCCGCAGCAGTGTCTGTCGGCCGGCAGACTGCACCCCACAGCAGTGTCTGTCGGCCGGCAGACTGCACCCCCCGCGGCAGGCAGCAGTCCGACACCCAGCCAGCGTGGCAGTGGTAGCCTGTCACATCATCACGCTGGATCAAGCACGCCCCACGCACCGGCCGCGGCCAGGCAGCCGACGCCATGCCCGCGATGTTTTCAACCGTAACAGCACGACCGCAAGGGAAACAACCCGCTTACGCTATCGACCGGGCGGCCGCCACAGCGCGTGGCCGATCCACCGTGGGTGCGTGTCGTCGCGGCAGCACCGGGAGACGCCCTCCACCGCGGCACGTCCCGAATCGATGTGCCGAGCGGTGGCCAACTGCGGCCGGTTCAGCCAGAGCAGCGGCGGGCACGATCCCGCCGACCCGGCGCAGCACCCACGCTGGTGGGAGCGCCCTCGCCGGGGGTGGGTGAGTGTTTGCTCCTGGGTAGAGGGCGGTGGCCACGAGCCCGAAGCCCGGGGCATTACCCGCTTGGTTTAGGCCTGGGTATTTGCCCCCGTCCTCTAAGGTCAACGGACAAGTTTCCTAATGGCCTCATAAGGCCACCCTTGAGCCCATCTGCACACAATGTTCGGACTCTTGGAGCCGGGATTTCACGGAGTATTTGGCATCTCCCTCATCGTGGACTAATGGGTCACCCACGTCACCCTGTTTTCCACGACCAGCTGCTGCTCCACATTGGTCACGAGCTTCGGGCGTAAAACCACGTGTGTTTGAAATACCAAGCAGCCTTAGTTACTGTCCCCTGAGACACTAAGCAGACCTTGCGCGGGTTGCCGAGGCACATACACTTGCAAATGCTAGCCCGCGTCAAGCACGCCCCAGAACGCAGCTTGGACCTCAACCCAGGGCCAAACTTGCGCACATTTGATGCCAGCCTAAATGAAGTCCGCCACCAGTCCGGGACCTGGACCTGGCGCCGGAGCTAAGCCCACGCCAGACCAGGACCTGGACCTGGCGCCGGAGCTAAGCCCATGCCAGATCAGGACCTGGACCTGGCGCCGGAGCTAAGCCCACGCCAGACCAGAACCTGGACCTGGCGCCGGAGCTAAGCCCACGCCAGACCGGGACCTGGACCTGGCGCCGGAGCTAAGCCCACGCCAGACCGGGACCTGGACCTGGCGCCGGAGCTAAGCCCACGCCAGACCAGGACCTGGACCTGGCGCCTGAGTTAACCCCGCGCCAGACGGGCCGGCGCCGCCGTGACGGGCCGCGTTCCTGCCGGCGTCGTCAGCGCCGCCGCTAATGACGTCGAATTACAGCCGGCCGGCTCGTGCCGTCGTGCCGGTGGCCGTGGCGCGCGCCGCACGCCACGGCCACCGGCGGCATCGATTCGCACGCCGTCGGGACACGTGCGACCACCGGGCGAGCGCGGGCCGACGCCGGCGACGTTCGGGCGACGACGCCGGCTGGGAGGCGGTGCCGGAGCAGGCGACTGACACCTCTCGACGACACAGGCGAGCGCGGGCCGACGCCTGCGACGTTCGGGGCGGCGGCGCCGGCTGGGAGCGGCGCGGGGCAGGCGGCTGACGCCTCTCGGCGACAGAGGCGAGCGCGGGGCGACGCCGGCTGGGAGGCGGCGCGGGAGCAGGCACTGACACCTCTCGGCGACAGAGGCGAGCGGCGCTAGGATCCAGTCCGAGCCGCTGGCAGATTAGTTGTGGTCTATGGGGAGGGGGATTTGGAACAGGGTCAAAGTCAAAGGCCATGGCGTGCTCGTTTGCCTGTGTGTCGTTCATTCCGAAGCGTGAGGCGGAAGAAATTGGGGCGAAGATTACCATCAGGTGAAATGCAATGCACAGGCTTTAACACCTTTTTCACAGGCCTTAACGTGAGCACACTGTCCCAAGCTGCGTCCATACACGGAGTTCCTAAGACAAGCAGCCGGCTCACGGGTGGTGTTGAACAGTGGATGACCTTTAGCTGGAGCTAACAGGCAAGTGTTATCCTTAGCGCTGATGTGAGCAATATTCGTATCTAACAAGATTACTAATTTTACTTTCGTTCAAATACGTCTTACTCCATGACTGTCAAAACCCTGTCCGTGGCAAAGTGAAACCACACCAGTTATTTTAATCGACTAAACTGGTGAATGTACATTCTTTTTTGGATTTTCAGCATTACAAGGGGTTACAACCTGTCTAGGATTCCAAGATGAAAAACTTTTACAAATCACAATGCATAGCAGCATCGCGATGAAGTGAAATTTGAACGTGAACGCTTCTGCAATATGCGCGTAGGTAACTTTTCAGGGTACACCGATACAAAAATACAAAGTCATTTTAAAATGGAATGCAATTTCCATGAGCAAAACCCAGTTAAAACCACTTCACGACAAACTGTGCTTAACTTTTTCTTATGGCAGCGGGCCAGTACCACGGCAATAAATGTGCCATCTTAAGATAACATGACACATTTGTTCACGTCACCAATCTTGCAAATTCGTTTAAACATAAGATTGTGCGATTTCTTGGTAGGTTCGAGAGCATCTCTACGGCAGAAAGGTTCGTTTACGCTACGGCGTTCCCGGGTTGGCGATCGGCAGGTAATCCACGCCCCAGGATGCCGCTCAGCAATAACCCTTCCTGGGGGGGGGGATACCGAGCAGTGATCCCTGCTCGAAGGGTGCCACCGAAGGGTGATGCATGTCCGGGAGACGCTGCGAGACGTTCATGCCTGTACGGGAGACGCTACGAGACGCTGATGCTCGTCTAGGAGACGCCACGAGACGCTGGTGCCGGCCTGGCGCCGGCCGAGTGACGGCACCATAGCGGCCACCTGCCCCCCAGAATAATTCAGCCCGCTGAGGCGCCGACCGCGTCGCAGAGCAGGCACACAGCCGCGCCATCACTAATGCACGGTGTTCAATACGGCGGCGGCGGCGGCCGTGCGGTACGCCGCCGCCGGACCGGCCGGTCGGTCAGCAGCCCGAGCCGCCACGCCCAGCGGCGGCGCGTGACGCCGGCCGCCGCCGCCGCAGCGGAGGCGATCGCGGCGCGCGTCACAGCCGCCGCCGCCCGGGGCCGCCCGTCCGCGGGCCGCCAGGCACCAGGCCGGGAAGAGGCCGCTGTCTGCTGGCGCACGGGCTCCTCACGACGCACCACCAGTGGCACGTCTATTGCGGGATCAATATCGCGGCGCCAGAGCGCATTACACCACAGCAATTGAGGACTGCTCGCATAGGACAATAGTGCACTTAACGGCCAACTTTGCAACGTTCCGAAGTCCCAGGAAGCCGTACGTCACTGAAGGGTGAGGTGTTCACTGAGGCCGGCAGCCGAGGAATGAGTGGCGGCATTCATAGACAATATCTGTGGCCACTAAATGTCATCCAGAGCGTGACTGGGTCAGCAATATTTAACTCGCGGGGGTAAGGTGGAGTGGTGGGGTTGACGGCCATTCGCCTATTCACAACGCTGCACAGTTTAACGGCTACCCGTCGAAACTAGCCTGAAAACTTCTCAGTCAGGGCTTGCCGGTCTTTGAAATCCTCTTCACACTGCTTAAAGTGAGGCAACAAACATTCGAAGCACGCGGCCAGGCACAGAGCAATTCGGGAGGAGGAGAGCGGCACTGGCCACCTCCCTGGGGCGTCAGCGCCACAACCATGGCCCCAGGAGGTCGGAGGGCCATCCAGCTCGCGGGCCACAAGGCGGATGCGTCCTAATGCGTGGCTGCGGCACCGCCACATTTCACGACGCAGCAATATAGGACAAATTTCCGAAGGAAGACTGAAGCATAAAGTGGTGTGTTTTTATCACCTTACGAACGTCATTGCGAAAAAAAACATTTAGTCGCACGGTTACTCAACACCACTCCTTGTTCAGTCACAAAACAGGATTGTCCGCTGGTAACAAAGACATGCTTTTCTGTCTGGGAAAAGCATTCTGCTTGGACAGACAGTCGCCGGCCTAAGTACCTCATACCATACCCGACTCGTTATGTTACGCTGAGCAACGGGCATAAAACGCGGCATTTGGTGCCATACGTTCTAAACTGCCGATACCAATCGTACTCAGCATATTTCCTCCATGATATTTTCGGGCAGCGAAAAACGCGTATTTATATTCCTGGTCAGCTTATTAAGCACGGCCCAGCATGTTAACGCAGCAGCCAGCGCATTCTTTACGTGAGCATTCGCGACATTTCGGCATTGCTTAGCACCGCACCTGGAACAACGCGCCGTAGATCACTGGCATCTCGATTCCCAACGTTCTGCACCGGTCACGCGCCTGACATGCTGACTGAGGTCATGACAGCGCGGCGGAGCACTACGGGATCAGACGTCGCCAAAAGTCGCTGCCGGTGGCCGAGGCGCCGGCCATTTCAGCGCCAAGGTGTGCCGCGCTGGTGTACGGCTCACAGGACGCCGTTCGATTTCCCTCACGTCATCACGGCACCAGACACGCCGAGCAAACAGCTATACCGCAGGTTCAAACCGTGTCCTGGTCCGCAGCCGTTGGCGGCAAAGGGGTCGTGACGAAAGTGCCCACATTGGGCCATGTCCACCAATGCTTCAAAGTAAGCGAAAGCAAGCGATTATATCTAACCAGGAATTTCGTCGCTGTTTTTCTTCTCCCCTCACTTGACATTTTTTTGCTGCGAAAACACAAAGCCCCTTGTTTTTTAAGCAGACCTTACCGCAAAATCTTCGCAAATTTTGACTACATCGCGTTAGCCGCCCGCGCCACACGCAATCGATAGGGCCATGCTAGCCGCCGGGAATCTATAGCGGACGGGCCGCAGCGCTAACGACACATTGATCTGGTGGGCGGGCCGAGGTGGATTAAAAGCCGGGCTCAGCGTCCCTGATCGGCAGCTGATAGTCGTGTGCTTCCCGTCATCGGAATCCCTTGTGATCCTGCGATGTCAAGTCTAACGGATCACAATCACGCTAGCTTCCGATAGGCATGGCCTTAACTGATACAGATGATGTTCTGTTGTTCTGATGTTCAACAGATGTTCCCCCTATTATTATTTTTAGTTTTTTCTTTTCGCGCTCTGTTGGCGCACTGTTCACATTGGCTGAAGCTGCAGGACCGCGGCCAGTGACCCCACTCATCCTTGATCGACCTGCTTTTCAACATTGGGGAAATAATTACACGCACGCGGATAACGAGAGCGCTCCCGACGACTGACGACATATAATTTCGGACGAAAGTTCAATGAAAGGCAGGATGTAATTACAGAGCTACAAACAATGAAAGGCAGGACGTCATTACAAAGTTATATTGCAACGTGACAGTTTGCGTCGCTCTGCAACGGAAGTACGGGATTGACATTTTGTTGATTCAGGCGCTCACTACAATGCCCCGCGAACTTGTGATGTATTGCAGCATTTCAAATGAAATCGATGCGAAAACGACGAAAAGAGCACAAAATGCATTCTATTCACTGATGGCGCCATACAGCAAGGCTTCACGTCACTTTTCCAGCTGACAAACCTTTCCAATCGTGTAATTAGGTGCGAGCGACATGCAAAACTGAACACTCATCAGGTTAGAGACTACATGGGTTGCCGAATCCCTGTTTTGCCATTTGCGAGCTGCCTGCCACATAAGATATGTTACTTTTACATAATCAGACATTGTAATTATTGCATCAACATAACGCCAAGAAAAAACATCTAAATAGACATCTCAGCCCACTTGCATATTATCAGACACTGTGGCAGGCAATCCGAAACTATTCATAGCCAGGATCACCCCCAGCCCAAAGTGCGCTCTTGATCAGGCCTGTAGTCGGCCCAGCTGTTTCTTCGCTATCTTACCTAAGCACGCAGCAAGTGATCGGCCAAATGATGCAATAATGTATAATAAGCATGTCTGCGTCACCCGCTTGTTGAGATTGCACTGTGAGATCTGTACTAGTGCTGTTCGCTTTCATTAATGGCGTTAGCAAAATTCAAAGGTGACATATGCATTTTAATGGGTACCATACTGTTTAAATACCAAATTTTAAACTTTAAAAGCAAACCTTCAATATCTTTAATTAGAGAGCTCATGAACAATAACCAGCAAACAATATTTATGATATGCCTACGTCATCCAGTACACTACAAACCTTAGTCTAAGTGATTCGGTGGTTGTAAACAATATAGGATTTAAGCGATCGCTAGTAGATTTGTTTTGATGAGTCCATTTCGATAATCACGCTCATTTCGTGCAGAAAGCTCAGGCAAGCCTAAGCTCCTGTGGAAACCTATCACAAGAGTTTACGTTTTGCAACTGTATTGGTGTATACTGATGAATATGGCCGGGTATAGCCAACCCAATGTGTGTCTCAGCCAGGGCACATTAGGTGGTGTTTTGGGTTAACAGGTTCCCATCGCAAGCCTTATCAATTAGCATATTAAAATCATAATGGTGCCTAGCCGCACAAAATTAACATTTGACACGGTTTGAAAGGCGAAGCCCTTCTAATTTCTGAGGTACATGCCTGTGAAAATGGGGAAAGGTATATCGGGGAAAGCATTTCCAGGTCTAAGTGGTATTCATGACGTCATAATGACGTCATTCAACTCCTGCCATTCCATAACCCATACGGTGATCAAGGCCGAAGAAAATATAAGCGTCGAGGTGTTCATATTTGGCGTTAGTGAACGCGATTTCCAGATATAAGGGCCGTCAATTGGCTCTCAATCAATGTTGCTCAAGGCACAATGACGTAATCAAACCATAACGCATTACGGAGCATATTCATTAAACAGAGAATTGTGATGCCTAGAACAATTTTTTCCACTTGATAAGCATACCAATAGTTACACGTGAGTTCGTTCTTTCAAATATAATGCTCGCTTGAACATCTTCGAATGTGAAACATCCCCTTTAACTGACATATGGGCATAACGTAGGCGTTATATAAAATAATACCCATGTTATTTTACTTCAATATCTTCAAATGCGAAACATCCCCTTAAACTCATGTATGGGCAAAACACAGGTATTATATAAAACTATTTATGATTTGGGTCACCTGCTGTCCCCGAACACGGGGTGGTCGCCAGCACGTTCTGAGTTCGGGGATGGTCGCCGCTAATTTCAGCGTATGCAGAACCAGTGTTTCAGGAGTAGACATGCTGTATTGCAAATTCACATTACAAAGTCACCAGAACACTTATAATTATGGTGCCAATGTGCCGATTTTTTGGCGAATTTTGCTACAACCTAGACATATCAAGCGTAACATGCAATTGCAGTCTTGGGTTTTAAGGGAGGGGGTTCTGCGCTGAATTTTTAGGCGAAATTTGCCGCAGCCTTAAGATGTTTAACGCAACATGCATTTTGCAGTCTCGGGTGCTAAGGAAGTGTGTTTTTCTAGCCTTGTTTTTTCTTTAACGAGATAAACCAGTCAGCTTCTTTCGAGTCCTGCAACTTGTCAACCACAACTCTATTTAAATGATACAGGTGTGACTGAAATGTGGTAGCTTGGCCTGCAGAGCTGTCATCGCTGTTCCTTTTTCATGCTTGGCTTTCTTGAGCTCAAATGCGAAGCCTTTTTCTTAAGCCACGCCTTGGCACGGCCTATTTTGCCTCAGGGTCCGGTTTTCATACGCCGTACTCAAGTGTAAGTATAGCGTCTTGCCTGCGGTGTGAAAATATAGCATGATTGACGTCTAATTTATTATAATATTATTCATCGCAACCTCACCCATTGAACGCTCTAATTATGATATATTGGTTTATAGAAATATACATGAACTTGATTGAACAGTACTTTATTGAGACATGAGTTGCCTTATATATGCATATATATATATATATATATGCAATATAATTACATTACACTACAATTACAATACAATTACAATACTATATATATATATATATATATATATATATATATATATATATGCAATATTATTACATTACACTACAATTACAATACAATATATATATATATATATATATATATATATATATATATATATATATATATATATATATATATATATATTGTTTAAGATCTAGGATGTGTCGCTTATCCATTCTCAAAAGTAATCTATGGTTACTCAGTTTATGACGGCAAATGACACACTTAAAATCTGAGCGCAAAACACTAACAAATAACAAAAACTTGCCATTGCATTGGCCAGTACTATCCTGTCCCGAAAAAACAAATATTTCTTTATCAACACAGAACATATGAGCATCACACAACGTGTTTGCATATTCAACCTAGCAAATCACACTACTAAATTCTAATGACCCATTCCCGCGTGGTTTTGTCAGTGCCAAGCTCATCGTCTCCGTGATTTGTTTGCGATGCTGCCCCAGAGATGATGCAAAAGTTTGATTGATTTGCAAGCCTAGTGCTGGTGTGTAGTCATGGATGAGTAATTCTTTCAAGATGCTGAGTTTCTGGTCCAGATTCGGAATCGATTTCACTCGAGGGAAGAGAGCACAAGAATGCATGCACGCATTCCGAAAACCAGGACTCCTCGCCGTCAATTAGCTGAACAGTGTGTCCGACATTTACAACTACATTCAGACCAGCGGGTGCGCTTCGGCAAAAAAGGACGACACAACTATGCGGGGTCGTGTGGCGTAACGCCACACACATGCCGTCCGCGTCCGCTACGTGTTATACATAATGTATAACATATATATATATATATATATATATATATATATAAATATATATATATATATATATATAAAGTTTTCATCACTTCCAGGCATGTGTCCATGTACCCACTATGTCCAGCGGGTACATGAGGCACATCGCGCCGGCTGCTCGTGGGTCCTACTCATCCCGACAGGCAGGATTCCAAGAGGCCATCCTTCTCCCAAAATCGAAGCCAAGCAAAGCCATGGACATCGCGGCTTTTTATAGTGCCAAACGGCGTACTTCAGACCCGTTAGGTCGTCCCCGGTACGCCCATTTCGTTCCATTCAAGTGCCCCGAGCGCATAAAACGTGCATTGGGTATTACGCTCTAAGCTGAGAGACCATCTAATGCTGCAGTTCGGACTCGTGGTTTAGCCAACCGTGCTCAAAACAGTCTCAAAATAACCACCGCGGACTTGGCATGCCAATAACCGGGTCGGGCCATGCCTCCCACTGATTGAGTGTGTAAAGTGATCGGTAAGACCGCGATGCTAGGCTACCGGCATGCATCACGTCATCGCCAAGATCGCAGTCACATATGAATTTCGAGTAGTCAGCTGCATGAAGCGAAGACTTTTCACCACTTTCTGGCCGCACGGTGTATGCAGCGTGCGTTTGTATTTACAATCCACCATTTGTATACTACATTTGTGCATACAATCCGAGTTAGCGTTTGTATTTACAATCCACATTTCAAGCAATCGATAAACACCAGGAATCGGTGCGTTAGGTAATTTCCAGCCTACATACCCACACGGTAAGCACGGTTTGAAAGCCGCGTCGGTTGTACCTACTTTCGCTTCATGAAACAGGACGCTGGTGGGGCAGGCAGAATTCTGGCATGCTGATCAGTGGGAACTGGTGGGCAGAGGGGAAGGGGGAATACTTACGCAACAGTCCTGCTCGGGCACGTAGCAGAAATCGCCCGAGGCCGAGGTGGGCATCCAGAGATGTTCGCCAATGACGGCTGCCTCGCTCCAGTCACACGTGCTGCGCAGCGTGCGCCGGCCGCCCTCCGCCTCGATCTCGATCTCGCCGGTGGCCGCCTTTCTGCGGAGCACAGCGGGGGCCGCGGCGTCAGCGCCGCCGCTTCGCTGGGCCCCAACACGCCACGCGGCAGGCGGCGGCCGGGGAACGGACGGCAGCGCCGCCCTGGCCACCGGTCTGTCGTCGTCGCCGTCACATTTACGTCCGGGGCCACCCACGACACGTCACGGGCACGCGGCGGCATGGGCGTCGATGAGATGGGCGCCGACGTGAGGCACCGCAGCATTTCTGTGTGGGCACCCGGCCTTTGTCTTGTGCACATCACACATGCGCCGGGCTGTAACAGCTGGCACGGCTGCTCGCAGCTGCGCGAGCCGGGCGCGCCGGATAATGGACAACAAAAAGCCCCAATACACTATTCAGCGCAGGGGTAATATATTCAGCACGGCGCCGACGATGTCCCACGTCACGTGCCAATGTCTGGACAATACAACGCTCACAGTACACACGAACAATTAATTATATAACTATCATTATATAATTGGGTACTGTTCATGAGGAAGTTGCGAAAATAGCATTGGGGCATAATGCTCGCGAACAAACGAACTTAGCCAGGTCTGGAGCTGCGGAACAATTCATGGTAGTTGGGTACCAGGGTGGTTCGAGACCAAACTCGGTTGGCGTGCCGCACTCACACCAGTGACTCACACTCAGGACTACCAGTCAGTGACTATTAGTCAGGGGACATCAGAGGTGAACGTTACTTAACGCTGCTCGTCGACGAGTTCTGTCCAATGACTGTTCCACGGACGCTAGACCCCGCGGACAGACCACGTGCAGTGGGAGCGGAGAAAATTGGATTCGACTCGCGGTCTCTTGAAATAGTTTTACTCACCTCACTGGTTGAAAACTGCAGGAGCGTTCTCGCTGTTCCGTTTACGAGCTCTCGCAGAACAATTCCAATCCCTCGAGAACTCTGTTTCTCGACTAAACGGCGGCACTATAAATAGACCCCGACATCCGGCAGTGTCATGCTCTGCTCCCAGAGCCATAGCGAACTCGCACGACATACTTGAACAAATTGCAACAAAATGGCTCCGCTTCGCCTCACCCAGCCACAGGAAGTCTCTTTAACTAGCTGCCGGAGTGCACCTTGACACGGCGGAAGCAATTCCGCCACAAGCGAGGACAGAATATGCTTCGTGTGGATCGTTGTGAAGTTCGGACGATATAGCAGTTAGAATCACATTGAGGAGATATAATGCAGGCATAAAGTGAATGCAAATGATGGTGACGGCTGGTCTGGGTTCAGATAGAATGTCACTAGGAGGTTTATGTTGGATGTCGTCACGAGCCATTTGCGAGAAACAGCCAAATAAGTGTGAATACCAGAACCGAGATTATTCGCGTGAGTTATGCAGACGCACACAGAAGCAGGAAAGGCATCTTGCCGCATGGAAGACATCAATAGCGTCATTTCTTCCAATGTCCAGTGAGCGAGGCCTCTGGACAGCGAGCACACCCAGCATCCGTAGCATTTAAGGGGCGCGTCCCCAGATCGATAAAACCTTTCCCCGGTCGGGAGAAAGCGGCAGACCGAATAGCCGCACGACTAGGCAGCTGAGCGCGGCCGTATCGTTAGGTTCCGGAGCAGACGTGCAAGTCAGGTGTTGAATGAGAAACATTCCCGACGATAGCTTATCTGGCGGTGACACAGAGCGGAAATATGGGTCAGGAATCGGGGATGGATGGGCCTCGCTCGACACAACTGAACACCATCCCGATGGACTAAATACGTGGAAAGACAAGCAACGCGTCAAGGTCTCCTTTCCGCACCCTAGCCCTCAAACAGAAAAATGCTGGATGACCTGATTTGCGTCTGATACAAGTCAATGCATCTAACTCCGCTGGCACCTATGGTCATCGCTTCATAGGGCTGCAGGCATCTCAATGTTCTGAGACCAGCGGGTGGTCCGCAATTTCAGTGCAGGCTACGACTACGGAAAACACGACCAACTTCAAGAACCTTCGAATAAAACTTCAATTGACTATTACATTGCCGCTTGACGTCTTGGAAGATTTGCACTTCCAACGGCGCGAATTACGTACTATGAAAGGGGCGCTTTCCATTCTCAAGCTTGACAACGTTCATTGAAACCAAGTTATCTGCATTTTGTTAACCCCTGACATACAGGGGAGGCTTTCCTTTATGGCATGCCAAGATATAGCCAATCACCTCAACTAAATGCAATCGCACACATTCATATTGTTCAACAATATTTTTCACAGGCATATTCGTGGCGCAAAAGGACGACTGACTTAGATGCTGAGAAAAGAGGAAAAGATGTAGACTAGTACTGTTGCTGCTATTTGGGGCTCGAGATCCCATTTAAATGCATCAGGGGCCCACTTCTCATGTTTTTGAAAGCTTCATGACTTTTTAAACTGCTAAAAAGCACTTAAACCTTCGGCTCCAATAGGAACCTCCACCACCTCCTAGATGTTAGCTAAATTATTTAAAAGGATGCATTGTACGCGACGGGGTTTGACAAACTTTGAAGGCCTGTGGAAGAAGCGAGGAGGTAAGCCTAAGCACATGACTACCATCAATTAAATGCCAACCAGGATGAATAGCCACAAAAAGCTTTGGAGCTTTCCGCCTACAACGAGGGACACGCAAGAGGTTCTTTCCGAAGCCCGTTGTTAAGAGACCAATGGACGTGTTAACTGATCTGTTAAAGGCATTACTTTCACGTGACACACCGCACGACAAAAGATGCTCCAACGAAGCTCGCAGATACCAACTAGTTCACCTGAGCCTGGACGCAGGTGTATTCCGAAGATTAGCAGCGTTGAGAGCAACGACGCCCGCGGCACAAGTTCACAGTCTCTCCATACGCGGCAGCAAACTCGGCCCACCCATCACCGCACCGGCGGGATTCCGCGCTGACCGCACAGCTCGTGCGAGCGCGTGCACAGCACACCTCCCGTGCGAAAGGTACACAACGCATACGTGGTGCGAGCGCGTGCGCAGCACACCTCCCGTGTGAAGGGAACATACCACACACGTGGTGCGAACGGGTGCGTAGCGCCCTTCCCCATGGGGAGGACACCCCACGCACAGGCGGAGTGGTCAATGACCAACTACGCCTTCTTTGTCCGGCACCAGCAAGCGACGGCGCGGCCGGCTCGGGCGAACGCGCCCGCGCCCGCCGAAGCCTGCTTCACCGCTCGCATCGCCCCAGTCGCGTCAAGCGAGCAGTGGCAGCCACTCCCTCGCCGGGCACGGGCCGCCGGCGGCCGCGGCGTTCCACGTACTTCGCTCGGCCGGCGCTCTGCTGCCTGGTGTCGCCTCCGCCGGCACCTGTTCCCGCTGGCGGTCCGGGCGGCGGCAGCGAGCGCAGACCGCACTCCGGCCAGCAGCGGACGCTCAGCAGCTGTACAGCGACCGTGTCCGACGGCGGCCAGCACAGCACCCGGCTCAGCCAGCACAGCACCGCCCTGAGCCAGCGGCACACCAGCACCAGCACGGACCAGCCGCCGAACAGCATGCGCGGTGCCGCGGACGCTGCCGCCTCGGCCGCGGCGCCGGCCGCACCGCAAATGTCGCGACCGGGCGGCCGGCGCCGCGGGACGGCAGCGGATGCCTATCAGTGCCGGACGTCGCGCGAGCTTGACCGGACGCGCGCCGCTCTGTTGACACCACCGCGTCAGCCCACACCGCCGGCGGCCGGCGGCAGCGGCGTCACAGTCGACACATTGCGCTCCGCGGCGGCGGCCGGCGCCCCACGACAGGGAGGGCAGCAGGTGACAGGCGGCACAACGTGTCCCGTGAGGACTGACAGCCCGCTCCAAGCGGCTCAGGGGCCCAGTACTGGCCGGCACACGTGCCCACGGGAGTCCGCTGGCGCCTGACACCAGCTGCCCCGAGCAACTGGGCTGCAGGCGACAGGACCGAGCGGTGGCGAGGCCCGGGTCGCAGACCGTGGTCGCGAGGCCCGGGTCACCGACCGCCAGTGACCTGCAGATAGAGCACGCGCCGACAGAGCGGGATAGGCGGAGCGTGGCCGGCCGCGTGCGCGGGCGCAAAGGAGACCCAGATCCTGCCCAGGGCCGCTCGTACATTTCGGTCTCCTCTTTTTAGAGCCTCCGAAGATCCCCTTTTTGCAGGATTCCAACCACCGTTTTGGGCCTGCGCAGTGGCCCTGTGCCCCGACCTCTCGCTTGGGGAACTCCCAGTGGCACTGACAGCCGGCACTCCGACTCAAAGATCGTACCATCGGGCCGCACATTTAAGCGGAATCTTTCTTTTTCCTCTTTCTGGCTTAATTTTCAAGTAGAAGTCGCGTTCTTTTAAGCACAGAGTGCACTCCTTTCAGACCACAGCTTTCAGAGCACATCTCGATAAATCAAATCAAACCTTCCAGACCACACCTTCTACCCCAGCCCTTCACCTGTCGCACCTTTCAGACCACACCTTAATATGTCATACATTTCAGGTCACACCTTAACCTGTCACACGTTTCACACCACACCTCCACCTATCACTCTTTTCAGACCACACCCTCACATGCCACACTTCTAAGACCACACTTTCACCCGGCACACCCTTCAGACAACACCTGCGCGCCCCACCCGTTCGGGATACCGCCCGGACCACCCAACCCATCCTGCCGTTAAGGCCCCCCTCCTCGCCGAACCGCCCTGAGTTAACACATCACGGACCGGGGCTCCTACGAAGCTGAGCGGACGCGACCGCTCCCTGCCGCGGAGATGTCACCGCACCGGGACGGACACGGAGAGCGGGGCGGCGACAGCGGCCCAGCGCAATTACCGCACCGGGACGGACACGGAGAGCGGGGCGGCGACAGCGGTGCAGCGCAATTACCGCACCGGGACGGACGCGGAGAGCGGGGCGGCGACAGCGGTGCAGCGCAATTACCGCACCGGGACGGACGCGGAGAGCGGGGCGGCGACAGCGGCGCAGCGCAGTTATCGCACCGGGACGGACGCGGAGAGCGGGGCGGCGACAGCGGCCCAGCGCAATTACCGCACCGGGACGGACACGGAGAGCGGGGCGGTGACAGCGGTGCAGCGCAGTTATCGCACCGGGACGGACACGGAGAGCGGGGCGGCGACAGCGGTGCAGCGCAATTACCGCACCGGGACGGACGCGGAGAGCGGGGCGGCGACAGCGGCGCGGTGCAGTTACCGCACCGGGGCGGACGCGGAGAGCGGGGCGGCGACAGCGGCGCGGCGCAGTTACCGCACCGGGGCGGACGCGGAGAGCGGGGCGGCGACAGAGGCGCGGTGCAGTTACCGCACCGGGGCGGACGCGGAGAGCGGGGCGGCGACAGCGGCGCGGTGCAGTTACCACACCGGGGCGGACGCGGAGAGCGGGGCGGCGACAGCGGCGCGGTGCAGTTACCGCACCGGGACGGACGCGGAGAGCGGGGCGGCGACAGCGGCCCAGCGCAGTTACCGCACCGACAGGATCCAAAGCGCGGGCGGAACGGGCCCCGACAGGCTCCGTCCAGTCAACGGGAGGACAGCGCTGTCGCTCGCCGGTGCTGAGACATCAAAGGCTGCTACGGCGGCCGGTGGGTGGGCCCGTCCTGACGACGGCCGGCGCCGATAGCACGACGGCGGAGACGCGCCAGATTGTTGAGGTCTGACAGAAAGCTCCGATGTGCACATGCTCTGTGACAACCTTTGGAACGGAGGGAGTGCAATGAGATCGAACCAAGAACTAGCATCCAGACGCTCCGTTCAAGCACAAAAATTCCGCTGTCCCAGCACGAGGACATGGGGACGAACGGTTGAAAACATGAAAGGCCTGTGGCTGATAATATCTTCTCTGCCTCACAAGGCTTACTTGTGTGCCGGCTTCCAGACGGGCCAGCTATAATATGAATGCAGGATATAAGAGATGTTTGATATGTGAGAGGCCTCCTCTGAGTAAATAAGTGTCAAAACGTGTCCGTCGGCAAGTCTGAATCTCAAAACAGGAGGGAGAAGGACGCTCAGCACAACACCTCACATGCTCGGCTACGGCCGAAAGCTTCAAACGCTACGAACCGTCGTCGGAGAGTGCTCTCACGCCAGCAGCAGCTCATTCAACCAGGAGACATTCCACGCACCCAGCAGACAACCTTTCACGCGCCGACACCGCAGCACCTGCCGCAGCGGCAGCGAGGGCGCCACCAGCAGCCCTGTTATCTCCGCGAGCGTGCTCCACTCCCGAATTAAGCCCGTTCCGCTGCGGCGGCGTACCGGGCACGGCGGCCCTCGAGCCGCCGCCGCGGGCCTGGCCTCGTTACCGCACCTGCTCGCTGCCTGCGGCGGCTAATTGTCTGCAGCCGCCGGGTCACGGAGGCGGTTGATTGTGTCATTAGGTGGCGGTCCGGCCGGGGCGAACGGCGGCACAATCCCGTCGCTGACGAGGGTGGCGCGTCGCAGGACCCCCACTGTCGCTGCAGCGGCCGGTTAGCGAGACGGAATAGCGCCGCTGACTCGTAGTCGGCACATAAAGGGACCGCCCTGCCACTCAGCCTCGACAGCAGTCGGTTAACACCGCCAAGCTGACGGGCTGACAGGGCACGATCGTCCTGCCACTCCGGGTACAGCGCCACCGCCCCGCCACTCCGGGTACAGCGCAACCGCCCCGCCACTCCGGATACAGCGCCACCATCCTGCCACTCCGGGTACAGCGCCACCGTCCCGCCACTCCGGGTACAGCGCCACCGCCCCGCCACTCCGGGCACAGCGCAACCGTCCCGCCACTCCGGGTACAGCGCCACTGTCCCGCCACTCCGGGTACAGCGCCACCGTCCCGCCACTCCGGGTACAGCGCCACCGCACCGCCACTCCGGGTACAGTGCCACCGCACCGCCACTCCGGGTACAGCGCAGCAAACCCTACCGAGGGCGCATGACACCGACAGGCCAGACTTGGATTGTGATTGTGATTGTGATTATCGTCGTGTCGCGATCGTAGTCGTGATCGTGATCGTGATCGTGATCGTGATCGTGATTGCGATTGTGATTGTGATTGTGATTGTGGTTGTGATTGTGATTGTGATTGTGGTTGTGATTCGTGGGCGTGGTCGTGGGCGTGGTCGTGGTCGTGGTCGTGGTCGTGGTCGTGGTCGTGGTCGTGGTCGTGGTCGTGGTCGTGGTCGTGGTCGTGGTCGTGGTCGTGGTTGTGATCGTGGTCGCGTTGTCCAAGCACGAGTCGGCATCGGTGGCCTTATGCGCTGCCCTCCATTTGCCCTCCAAATGCCAGGGGAGAATCTAATCATCCCGCAGTTCTCTCCAGAGCGCCACATTTTCCAGGACGCGAGCCGAATGGCAATGTCGTGTTTTGTTAACCGCGGCTGCTTTTCTACAAAAGAAGAGACGATCACCCCGAAAAATGACACAAATTCGAGCGGAACAGGTCGCATTGTTCACCATCCAGCGCGTCCGCGAACTTCGCACCTGTTCCCGTCGGCAAAACGGACGGGCAGAGCTCTGCGAAACGCTTCCAACAAAGGGAGATCTATTAGGGTGAGGCACGACAGCATCCAGCCTTTTAAGAACTCAGATTTCCGGTCACATGCTTCACACAGACCGGCTGGATGTTGCGGCGACCGGGCCGATAGCCAGCCTATACACGGCGGACACGGAGTGGCGCCATCCACACTGCCAGGCCGCCAGCACCAGTCGACTGCTGTGGGATGACTGCGGGCCTTCGCCCAGCTGTAGGTCGGGCATAGGCCCGACCGGCATCACCAGCACGCAACAGGCCGCACCCGCGCGGTGGGGGGCGCACCACACGTCATGTCATCATAAATAAACAGTCAGCGTGCAAGACTGGTGGACAAGGGATGACGACCGAACGGCGTTCGGCAGCGGCGTATGCATCACGTGCGTTCGCCAGGCGCCGAAGATTGGTGGTCGCGCCAGATATTCCTGCCGTGTACGCAAACAGCCGTCCTTGAGCCCGAACACGCAGCGACGTCGCGGACCGTCGGCACACCTATCAGCGTGGACAGGCCGCGCTGACGGGCTGAAGGAGCCACAGTCCGGCCCAGATAGGGTCAGGTCAGGTCATGTCATGTCAGGTCAGGTCAGGTCAGATCAGGGGAGGGCAGGGCACATCAGCGCGAGAGTGAAAGAGCGTCATGCTGCGGCTCAGTCAGGTCAGGTCAGGTCAGGGCAGGGCAGGGCAGGGCAGGTCAGGGCAGGTCAGGGCAGGGCAGGGCAGGGCAGGGCAGGGCAGGGCAGATCAGGGCAGGGCAGGGCAGGGCAGGGCAGGGCAGATCAGCGCGGGAGTGAAAGAGCGTCATGCTGCGGCTCAGTCAGGTCAGGAGAATGCGAATTACGCTACGACCCAGGACAGTGTTTCTGGACAGACGGTCTCTACGCCCGTGCGAATGCGTACAATCCTTCAACTTGGTGTTGCTGTAACATTCGCGAAATTCGCATCGGATCCGCGAAACTTCGCTGCAATCGTATTTCAGAGGCGGGAGTGCCATTCTGGCGAGGGTAGGTCACGCGACGAACGTCGGCCATCGACCCGAGCGGCGCCGCGGCGCGGCTCGCCGGGCGCGGCGTGGCGATGTCAGGGGCGCCCCGGCTCGCCACGCCCGATCGATGTCAGGGACCGCGCGCGTGGCGGCCGACCTGTTGCCGGCCGGCCCACTGACCTGCTGCGCCGACGGAACGGCAGGTAGGCCGTGTACGCGCACTGTTCCTCGGTTGGGAAGCCGATGTCGACCGAGGTGGAGCGCACCGGCCGGTCGGCCACCTCCAGCAGCAGGCCGGTCTCCAGGCTCTGCGTGTGGCGCGGCGTCAGGCTCGGTTCTGCAGAGGCGCACCGGCGCACCGGCCCGCCGACGGCGCGCTCCGACAGCTCGGGCACCTCCAGCCAGATCTCGGTGTAGTCGCCGATGTCGCTGCTCGAGCCCAGGAACCAGGAGCGCTCGCTGCCGTCGGCGATCGAGTCGCGCGACAGCTGCGACGCCGTGGTGCCGAGCGACACCTGGCGCGAGCTCTGCCGCGACGGCGGCGCCGAGCGGGCCGCCAGCGACGTTTGTCGCGTCGGCGGGTGCGTCACCAGCGAGGTCTGGCGGCTGGGCGGCGCCGACGATACGACCATCGAGCTCTGACGCGGCAGGTAGTGCGGCGGCGGCGGCGGCTCGTCCGAGTAGCCCGAGCTCTGGCGCGAGAAGGACGAATAGAGCGAACTGTTCCAGGAAAGGCAGGACGACTGTCGCGAGTAGGTGGAGCCGACGGAGCGGCCTGAGCTGGCGCCGGCCGACGGCAGAGAGCCCTGGCGCGACGGGCCCTCCCAGTCATCCTCCTCATCGTCCGGGTCGATGTCAGCGCGCTGCAGCGCCTGCTGCCGCTCCAGCTTCGGCGACGGCGAGCGGCAGATGCGCGACGCCGGCTGCGGCGACGCCGACGGCGAGGCGGCCCCAGCTCGACGCTGACGCCGACGAGCACGACGAGTGGCGCAGGTCGAGTGACGACGAGGTCGAGTTGCGGCTGAGCGTGACGCGGATGGGGCAGGCGACGCCGCGTGGCGGTTCCGGCGGGCTGCCCGTGCCGCCGCTATCCTGCGAGCTCTCGCCGCCGCCAGCGCGCCGGCCCATCTCCTCCAGGCAGACGCAGTGCCAGCAGGCGTGCGCCGGGTCGCGGCCGCCGCCGCGCTCCGAGAATAGGTAGCGGCGCCGGCGCGTGCGCACCGTCTCTTCGCACTCGTCCAGGCTCTTGCTCTTCTTGGCACCCGACTGCGGCACGCGCAGGAACGAGGTCACCTTGACGCCGCAGGCGGGCGTCTTGTCCGACAACTGCATCTCGTCGAAGCTGGCCGAGCGGATTTGCTTCGGCACCTCCAGGCTGCTCTGCGCCTTCAGCTCGTTGCCGCTGGGCGTCTTGGAGCGCGTGAAGGGGATGCGCAGGCGCTGCATGTCGCGGCCGGTGCCGGGCGGGACCTGGTGTCACGGCGGCGGCCGCCTCAGCTGGCGTCCCCTGTCGGCCGCCGCGCGCTGCAGGCCGGCCATGCCGCCTGGCGGGACGTCGCTATAAGTCGCCGGCCGCCCGAGCTCAGACAGTCACCCGGTCACCAGGATCCCTCCCCCTCCCCAAGGAGGTCAGCAAATCCCGGGGCTACCTCACTCCACGTGTTTTGCACAACAGCACCGCACCTGCTATGCCTATCAGTCTCTGTTCACGGTGGCTTTCCAGAAGGTTTATGTTAAGTGAAGACTGAGATGTTGATGCAGCCAGCAGCGTGGCCCACTGCCCTAGTTCCGACCAGCGGTCACGGTGGCCGATGACGCTGACAGGAAGCAATCTAAAAAAATACTATATGTGTATATTGTGCATGTTAAGGCCAGATCCACTGGACCTGAACATGTAGCCGTTGCAACGGCTGCTGACAGCACTTCGCAACTGTAAAAATGGCCAGGCAGACATAAATATTTGACAAGTGGGTTGTGAATATAGATATAGATATAGATATAGATAATAGGTGAGTTTTTGTGCCCTTGTCAATGTCAATGTGCCCCAGTCAGCGAGTCAGTATCGCCACTTCGGGGCCGGCCGTTGCATCAGTCCCAGACCGATAACCCAGAGACGATTCATCTTACGTGACACTAACCTCCGCGTGGTGGCGACCGTGTTTAGACATTGGCCCCATTTGGTTGCACATAAACCGTCCGTCATGTCTCGGCCAGCCGCCCGGCGGGCACGGACGGCATGCCGAATCAGCTGACCCCCGCAACCGCGAACGTCACCAACCGGCCCCTCGACGACGGGCGCGTGCCGCGCCGTCCGCGCGCCCCAGCCTGGCATCCCCTGAGCGCTGTCCGCAGACGGACGTCGCCTGTGATACGACACAGGCACGCCGCCGCGTGCATACCGACGGGGGCTGGGGCGGGGCGGGGCGGGGCGGGCGGGACGGAGTCGGGCTGCCGGGAGGCGTCCCCCGCCGGTGGGGGCGGACGGGAGACGAGGCGCTGGTGCTACGGCCAGTCACCAAACCGCGCTACGACACCTGTCTCGCCCTACTAAGGTGATACAACCACTCAGGGACATCTCGTCCGGAGTGTAGCCGCGTGGGTACAGCTTTGTTAACGCAATCCTGTTAGTTCTTAATTCATTTCCACCGACATTGTGGTTAAGGTATTATTTTATTGGTCGTTTTAGCTACAACTAAGCCAACTGAATTAGATTAATGACCGACGGCCACATGTTTGATAAGCTATATACGCTGACCACCAGCAGCCCTTTTCAGAAAGTTTCCGTAAATTATGTGGCCGCTGCAGCATTAGCACGACGGCGTCTTCCCGCATTTATCTTTGTTTACAATTCGCACCCAGCATACCAGGCCATCTGTCGGTGACACCAACAAATGTCTCCACCGTCCCGGCACTGCTTGGCGGCCGGCGTGCCGGAGTGCCTTCTGAAAGCTGATCGATGCTCGGTGTCGCCAGGCCAAAGTGCCTGAGTGCTCCTCCATCGGCTCCCGCTCGCTCCTGCCCAGACAGGTCCGGAGGCCGTCCGTCCGGCCGCGCGGCGCCGTCGAGCCCGCCATCCGCCCTCCGACAGGTCATTGTCATGCCTGCGCTGGCGCGCGGGCGACCTCCTCACCCGGCGACACCGGCCGACCGGCACCGGCCGCCGCCACCGATGCCATAAAGATCGACGGCGACGCGGCCTCCGTCCGTCAGCAGCGGCTCTGTATTCAGCCGGAACACCGCGGCGATCCGAATCACGGCGAGGACGGGGCCGAGCGAGGGCGAGCGCCGAGCGGAGGGAGAGACACGTACACGGCTTTCCAGGCAGAGGGGCGCGCGCTGTTTTCCAGGTCACAGGGGAATCCAGGATGGGTGAGCTCACTGGAAACGACAGGTTCAAGTGTTTGCCAGTTACTAGGACTGTGAGATGACGCTCTGTCTTTACCCCTCCCGATTTCTCTGCGCTGGTGGCGGCGGGTTTACCCCTCCTCATTCCCACACCCGGAGAGAAACACGGCCTACGCTGAGCACCAGCGTTGACATAGATACAGCAATCAACAACAACGAGCCCCAGCAAACAGCAATAACCCCTGAAGGCAATAACGCTTAGTAATAACACCCGACTCTGCAGATGAGCTGCTCCAACTTCCATTGCTTTACAGATAAAACGGACGGCATGGCATCTTAACAGCCCGGAACAAAATCTGTAACCACAAACTGACGCTGGCGTCTCTCCTCACACGCAGGAATACTGTCAAAGCAGCAGGCCTGCGACATTAACCGTCATGTTCAGGAAGAGTTGACACGTTCCAGGATGAATGTTCCGCATTATTAGTCTGCCAATGTTACGGACTATGGCGTTAGCTGTATCTAAGACGCTCCCAATGGGACTGGCGTTTGTAGCCGGACACGTGGCGCCGAAGCACATGCACACGGACAGGCCGCGTTCGTCGCAGCTCTGGCGGCAGAGCGGCGCAGCTGATCCAACGCGCGGACACGGTCCGAGCTGCGGCCGCCGCTCCAGAGCTCTGAACCGGCCGCATCCAGTGCAAACCGGAGGGCAGACCGCGGCCGGTTTACGGCACTGTGGCGAGTAGGACCCTAAGATGGGTGAAAAACGTACCCGCCACGCGCCATGGGGTCGCACAGCACGTCTGAACGACAGACTGTGGGCAGCGCAATGCAGCTGCCCTTCAGAACGTAGAAGGCTAGGGCGCAGGCCCGGGCGCTTGATTCACTCATTAAAGGAATTCGGGATGGCAAAGCTAGGAGTGCCACCCAATAGACGAGTGCCCTTCAGTGGACCTACAGGGGGCTCACTTTAAGAAGGCGGGAACAAGCAGGCCTTTATCTCAGCCGGACACACATGCCAACAGGAGCGCACCGAGCGCATCACGAGGGAGCGTGCTGAGCGTATCACGAGGGAGCGTGCTGAGCGTATCACGAGGGTGCCCGTCAGACACATACGTATACGTTGGGCGCAAAGATCTCAGCAACAGGACATCATTAATACCCATGAGGCACTCCGGAGGGACCAGCGCGCCCATTAACTGGCGTGATAGCTGCCGGGCCGGCAGTCGGGCCTCGCGCGACACTGCCCGTGGGACCGGCGGCGGGAGCAGTCTTCCGCGGGACGGCACACCGCCCCGCACACAGCTCGCGTCCGGCGCGGGCGCTTCGGCGAACGGCTCGTTTCGCAACCGCAGCCGCTCTGCCGATCGTAGTCCGCCCACAATCTGCGGAGGTCATCTGATAACGAGGCCCGGCCACCGAGCAAAGCGCTCCGACAAGCGGCTCGCTCACCGATAAGGGGAGCTAATTTGGACATTGTTGGTTTTAATTAGCAACTTTGACAGGCCGGCAGGGGCGCGGCGGATGACAACAGCCGGTGGGGGACCAGTCGCCGTTCATCAGGCCTCCAAAGTTGCCGACCGATCGCGGCGATGGGACAGGACCGACATCGCCTTGATCAGGCTAATTCCGGACCGTGCACGGCCCAGTCGACATTGCTGGCCGAGAGGGCACCCGGTCGTCAGAGGAGGTGAAGCCAGACGGGGCGGGAGCGTCCAGCCCGGCAACCGGGCCGCATTCACTTGCGGCACTTGCCGGCCACAAAGGAGGGTGCAGGCTGACGCGGCCGTCGCGTGGGTAGGACGGGCGTGGAGGGCGGGCCGGCCGACCGGTTCAGCCCGCTCACCGGCGCCGGGCCCGTTACACCGATCACTGGCATCCATCTGCACGCCTGCACGAGGGACACGCGCATCTGCACGTGATCAGCGCCCCTGGCGGCCACGGTCGCCAACCTCGATCGCCGCAGGCCGTGACCAGATGTAGGACGGCTGCGTTGGTCAAACTGGCCCGTATGCGCCCGTCGGATCCACCGCATCCATTCGGAATGATGCGTCCGCCGCGCTATAGCTTTCCTGGCGGTCTTCTACATACCGCCGATGCCCCTACTAGCATAGCCCGCAGCGGCCCGTCCTGCAGCACCCAGGGCTGGGGCGGATCGCCAGGCCGCTGGCAGCGCCTGCGACCGCCCGGCAGACGGGGCGGGGCCGTTACCTGCTGAGCTCGCGCGCCTTGCGCCGCTCGTCGTAAGCCATGCCGTACCAGCCGCCGCCGATCATGGTCAGCCCGGCGGATGGCAGCAACAGAAGCGCCGAGCCCGAGCAGCAGCAGTCCCGCATCGGGCACAGCCGGCACGGCGGCGGACACCTCGCTCGCGGCCGACCCGGCGCGGCCGCGAGGTCACCGTGGTGTGGAGGGGCTCGGCGGACACCGCAGGCACAGCGACACAGCGGACACCGCAGACACAGTGGACACCGCGAACACAGCGGACGACGCACGGGCGGCGGAACCACGTGGCCGGCGGCCGGCTGAAGACTGGCGCGGCGCGGCGGACGCCTCCCGCGCGGCGCCTCCGCCACAGCTGAGCGCCGATCCAGTGTAAATATTGACTGAGCGCGGCTCACGAGCGCGACCGGCGCCGCCGGCGGACGTCACCCAAGCCGGATCTTGGACCATACGCCGGGTCCGTGAGGTCACGGCGGCTCACGGGGCGTCGTGAGTCGGCGCAGAGCTCGTTGAAACACGGCAGGTCGAGCGGCGGCGCCGACGAGGCTGCTGCGCGCCACACATCTGCGACGGACTGCCCCTGGCGCCGGGGATCGGCCGGCTACCCTGGCGCCGGGGACCCGCCGGCCACCCCGGCGCTGGGGATCGGCCGGCTACTCTGGCGTCGGGGATCGGCCGGCTACCCTGGTGCCGGGAATCGGCCGGCCACCCTGGCGCCGGGGATCGGCCGGCTACCCTGGTGCCGGGAATCGGTCGGCCACCCCGGCGCCGGGGATCGGCCGGCTACCCCGGCAGCCTCTGCCATCAGCCCACGGATAACGTAAGCACGGTATCCGGAGAACACGCAATGATGCTACCCCGACCCCCGAATGGTGCTAGCGGGGGAACAGATCCGCGGACGCTGACGACACCCTGACGTCCCTGATAGCCGCGGGTCCAGGAACACTAGCGATGTCATGACGTCCCCGATGGCCTCAGGCACTGATCACGTGCTGGAGCTGCGCAATGTTGGTCAGGTGGATGCACCAGGTGGTCCATGGGTGGGCCCAAAGCATGAGTATGAGCCACTATGGAAACATACACGCAGATTGACAACGAACTACCAAATTTGAGATGTGTGCTCGCGGTGTAAGCGACGATGAGACCGCGTCGAACGTGTGGGTAACAGCAAACGTGCCGGTGACGATTCCACGTGGGTCAACGGTCGCAAAATACCTCACATATTCCTCAACGCCTCGAATACCTTAGCCTCCTCAACACCTCAATACTTCAACTTAAAATACCTCAATACCACCGCAGCTTTAGCCTTTCCCATCTAAAGCACCATCGCTATTTTGGACTCAACGAACTCCGAGCGTACGTGAACCGTTCCAACACGATCAAAGGCGTCGCCGATGGTACTCAGCACGGACCCGACCTCTATCTCCCGACCGTACAGCGGCAGTGGGGCGCCAGCGACAAGCTGTCCAGGACCAGGCGCGTGCTCGTCTTTTCGCAGTTACGAGCGTCGCGTAGAGTTTATATCGTCTGAGCATTTGACGCCCCAGATTAGACGCCACACGGCACATCATCGCGACTAATGGTGACAATTAGGCTTAACAGCGGCTGCGAATGGGAGTAAGGCC